AAAAATACTTTACTTATTTAATAGTCTCCATCCTTTGGTAAAAAATCTAAAATTGTGGAAAATTAGCAAAAATTCAAAAAACCGAATTTCTCAAAATTCAACATTTTCTCTACTTTTGTATGGCATTTAGCTTCATTATTTTTGTGCTCTTCAAAAATACTTTACTTATTTAATAGTCTCCATCCTTTGGTAAAAAATTTAAAATTATGGAAAATTAGCAAAAATTCAAAAAACCGAATTTCTCAAAATTCAACATTTTTTCTACTTTTGTATGGCATTTAGCTTTATTATTTTTGTGCTCTTTAAAAATACTTTACTTATTTAATAGTCTACAACCTTTGGTAAAAAATCCAAAATTATCAAAAATTCAAAAATCCGAATTTCTCAAAATTCAACATTTTTTCTTCTTTTGTATGGCATGTAGCTTCATTATTTTTGTGCTCTTTAAAAATACTTTACTTATTTAATAGTCTACAACCTTTGGTAAAAAATCAAAAATTATCAAAAATTCAAGAATCCGAATTTCTCAAAATTCAACATTTTTTCTACTTTTGTATGGCATTTAGCTTCATTATTTTTGTGCTCTTCAAAAATACTTTACTTATTTAATAGTCTACAACCTTTGGTAAAAAATCCAAAATTATCGAAAATTATCAAAAATTCAAAAATCCGAATTTCTCAAAATTCAACATTTTTTCTACTTTTGTATGGCATTTAGCTTCATTATTTTTGTGCTCTTCAAAAATACTTTACTTATTTAATAGTCTACAACCTTTGGTAAAAAATCCAAAATTATCAAAAATTATCAAAAATTCAAAAATCCGAATTTCTCAAAATTCAACATTTTTTCTACTTTTGTATGTCATTTAGCTTTATTATTTTTGTGCTCTTCAAAAATACTTTACTTATTTAATAGTCTACAACCTTTGGTAAAAAATCCAAAATTATCAAAAATTATCAAAAATTCAAAAATCCGAATTTCTCAAAATTTAACATTTTTTCTACTTTTGTATGGCATTTAGCTTCATTATTTTTGTGCTCTTCAAAAATACTTTACTTATTTAATAGTCTCCATCCTTTGGTAAAAAATCTAAAATTATGGAAAATTAGCAAAAATTCAAAAAACCGAATTTCTCAAAATTCAACATTTTTTCTTCTTTTGTATGGCATTTAGCTTCATTATTTTTGTGCTCTTCAAAAATACTTTACTTATTTAATAGTCTACAACCTTTGGTAAAAAATCCAAAATTATCAAAAATTATCAAAAATTCAAAAATCCGAATTTCTCAAAATTCAACATTTTTTCTACTTTTGTATGGCATTTAGCTTCATTATTTTTGTGCTCTTCAAAAATACTTTACTTATTTAATAGTCTACAACCTTTGGTAAAAAATCCAAAATTATCGAAAATTATCAAAAATTCAAAAATCCGAATTTCTCAAAATTCAACATTTTTTCTACTTTTGTATGGCATTTAGCTTCATTATTTTTGTGCTCTTCAAAAATACTTTACTTATTTAATAGTCTACAACCTTTGGTAAAAAATCCAAAATTATCAAAAATTATCAAAAATTCAAAAATCCGAATTTCTCAAAATTCAACATTTTCTCTACTTTTGTATGGCATTTAGCTTCATTATTTTTGTGCTCTTCAAAAATACTTTACTTATTTAATAGTCTCCATCCTTTGGTAAAAAATCTAAAATTATGGAAAATTAGCAAAAATTCAAAAAACCGAATTTCTCAAAATTCAACATTTTTTCTTCTTTTGTATGGCATTTAGCTTCATTATTTTTGTGCTCTTCAAAAATACTTTACTTATTTAATAGTCTACAACCTTTGGTAAAAAATCCAAAATTATCAAAAATTCAAAAATCCGAATTTCTCAAAATTTAACATTTTTTCTACTTTTGTATGGCATTTAGCTTCATTATTTTTGTGCTCTTCAAAAATACTTTACTTATTTAATAGTCTCCATCCTTTGGTAAAAAATCTAAAATTATGGAAAATTAGCAAAAATTCAAAAAACCGAATTTCTCAAAATTCAACATTTTTTCTTCTTTTGTATGGCATTTAGCTTCATTATTTTTGTGCTCTTCAAAAATACTTTACTTATTTAATAGTCTACAACCTTTGGTAAAAAATCCAAAATTATCAAAAATTATCAAAAATTCAAAAATCCGAATTTCTCAAAATTCAACATTTTTTCTACTTTTGTATGGCATTTAGCTTCATTATTTTTGTGCTCTTCAAAAATACTTTACTTATTTAATAGTCTACAACCTTTGGTAAAAAATCTAAAATTATGGAAAATTAGCAAAAATTCAAAAAACCGAATTTCTCAAAATTCAACATTTTTTCTTCTTTTGTATGGCATTTAGCTTCATTATTTTTGTGCTCTTCAAAAATACTTTACTTATTTAATAGTCTACAACCTTTGGTCAAAAATCCAAAATTATCGAAAATTATCAAAAATTCAAAAAACCGAATTTCTCAAAATTCAACATTTTTTCTTCTTTTGTATGGCATTTAGCTTCATTATTTTTGTGCTCTTCAAAAATACTTTACTTATTTAATAGTCTACAACCTTTGGTAAAAAATCCAAAATTATCAAAAATTCAAAAATCCGAATTTCTCAAAATTTAACATTTTTTCTACTTTTGTATGGCATTTAGCTTCATTATTTTTGTGCTCTTCAAAAATACTTTACTTATTTAATAGTCTCCATCCTTTGGTAAAAAATCTAAAATTATGGAAAATTAGCAAAAATTCAAAAAACCGAATTTCTCAAAATTCAACATTTTTTCTTCTTTTGTATGGCATTTAGCTTCATTATTTTTGTGCTCTTCAAAAATACTTTACTTATTTAATAGTCTACAACCTTTGGTAAAAAATCCAAAATTATCAAAAATTATCAAAAATTCAAAAATCCGAATTTCTCAAAATTCAACATTTTTTCTACTTTTGTATGGCATTTAGCTTCATTATTTTTGTGCTCTTCAAAAATACTTTACTTATTTAATAGTCTACAACCTTTGGTAAAAAATCTAAAATTATGGAAAATTAGCAAAAATTCAAAAAACCGAATTTCTCAAAATTCAACATTTTTTCTTCTTTTGTATGGCATTTAGCTTCATTATTTTTGTGCTCTTCAAAAATACTTTACTTATTTAATAGTCTACAACCTTTGGTCAAAAATCCAAAATTATCAAAAATTATCAAAAATTCAAAAATCCGAATTTCTCAAAATTCAACATTTTTTCTACTTTTGTATGGCATTTAGCTTCATTATTTTTGTGCTCTTCAAAAATACTTTACTTATTTAATAGTCTACAACCTTTGGTAAAAAATCTAAAATTATGGAAAATTAGCAAAAATTCAAAAAACCGAATTTCTCAAAATTCAACATTTTTTCTTCTTTTGTATGGCATTTAGCTTCATTATTTTTGTGCTCTTCAAAAATACTTTACTTATTTAATAGTCTACAACCTTTGGTCAAAAATCCAAAATTATCGAAAATTATCAAAAATTCAAAAAACCGAATTTCTCAAAATTCAACATTTTTTCTTCTTTTGTATGGCATTTAGCTTCATTATTTTTGTGCTCTTCAAAAATACTTTACTTATTTAATAGTCTACAACCTTTGGTAAAAAATCCAAAATTATCAAAAATTCAAAAATCCGAATTTCTCAAAATTTAACATTTTTTCTACTTTTGTATGGCATTTAGCTTCATTATTTTTGTGCTCTTCAAAAATACTTTACTTATTTAATAGTCTCCATCCTTTGGTAAAAAATCTAAAATTATGGAAAATTAGCAAAAATTCAAAAAACCGAATTTCTCAAAATTCAACATTTTTTCTTCTTTTGTATGGCATTTAGCTTCATTATTTTTGTGCTCTTCAAAAATACTTTACTTATTTAATAGTCTACAACCTTTGGTAAAAAATCCAAAATTATCAAAAATTATCAAAAATTCAAAAATCCGAATTTCTCAAAATTCAACATTTTTTCTACTTTTGTATGGCATTTAGCTTCATTATTTTTGTGCTCTTCAAAAATACTTTACTTATTTAATAGTCTACAACCTTTGGTAAAAAATCTAAAATTATGGAAAATTAGCAAAAATTCAAAAAACCGAATTTCTCAAAATTCAACATTTTTTCTTCTTTTGTATGGCATTTAGCTTCATTATTTTTGTGCTCTTCAAAAATACTTTACTTATTTAATAGTCTACAACCTTTGGTCAAAAATCCAAAATTATCGAAAATTATCAAAAATTCAAAAAACCGAATTTCTCAAAATTTATAATTTTTTCTTTTCTTTTTTGGCATTTAGCGTCAATATTTTTGGTCTCTTTTTTAATACACTTTACTTATTTAAACAGTTTGTCTAACAAGGATTAAGAAAATAATTCCCTGACTTTTTACTAATTTTATTTCTGCTTTCTTGGGACAAAAATATGGTAACTGACATGTTTATCAATAAATTAATATCTAATGATAGACACAAACGATAATAAAAATCTTCTAAGTTTTCTTAGATTAAACAAATCGTGATGAAATTCTTTGACATTCCCTGACTTTTCCATGACTTTTCCCTGATCGTTAGACACCCAGAGTAAAATTATTAGAAACAGATTAAAATAATTGCTTTATAATTATTATTGTTAAAACAAAACAAAATCGTAATTAATTCTAATAACTCCCATTAGATTGCAATAAAATTTTAATTTGAAAAGGGGATAAATGTCATTTATTCGAACATTCAGAATTCACCCAAAACAGGAATTCAGTAAATTTTTTCCTTATGCAAATGTAAAAAAAAGAACAATAATGCAACGGTTAGAAAATACCTCAGTAGTTATCTCTTAAAAAATAGAATTTATCGACAAGAATAAAATATACATTTAGAGAAGTGTAAAAAGGTGAAAATCTTAGCCTATACGAATATAAAGAGAGAGTGCGAAAGAGAGAGAGAAGGAAACGGGAAATAAAGAAAACGGGGAGGGTTGGCCGAGCGTCAGCGTGCAGATCTGCAATGCGGCGTTGCCGGCGAGTCCGAGTTGGTTCACCAAACCCTGTAAGTGTAGTACACAGTACCATCTATATAGTAATACCTCAAACTTCACTATCTATATCTATACGTGTATACATATATACATGTAAAGGCACGCGCGTGACACGGAAATGTGTCGTGTATATACCTGCGCCGTCGGCTCACTATATGTGTGAGAGGGTAAACGCGGTGACGTGCCAGCCCGGCATGTGGGTGCATGTTGGTAATGTGCCAGTAAGACAGTATGCACCGCTATATACTATATATATTAATAGGTGAGCCCAGTCGATCCATGCGCTGGATGCGACGGAGTCATGCGCCTTTGCAGCACTAAAACCTCTCTGCACCCGCGCAATTTCACCCCCTTTCAACACAAGAACCAAAGACCGCGCGCAGTGTTGCCTTGCCGCGCTCCGAGCACAACACTTGCCATTAGACACATATTTTTACTAAAAAAACAAAAAAAAAACACAAGACTCTCTTTTTCGTTACGATTTATGTGTGTTTCTTTAAAAAAAAAAAAAAAAAAAAAAAAAAACAATCAATTTTAAAAAGCCCACACTTTATAAACGAGAGAACAAATCATTATCCGTTCTTTCAATCATCACTTTAAGAATCGTAATAATCGGGCAAGAAAAAAATATTTCCCCCCCCTCGACAATTCATGTCACATATCTAGGCCTCGTTATACTGTAAATAAGTCTTCGCAATTACTCACCTTCAACTAAATAATAAAATACTACGCTTCTACTCTATTCAAATGCAAAAAAAAATTTTTGTTCCATATCAAAATGAATCAATTTTGATTTTCGATAAAAGTGAAAACAAGCAGCAGTTCGATATTCAAAGAAAATTGCCGATAAGTTTGTCAAGAGTGATAAGCAATTAAACGAATGATCCATAATTAAAATATAGAAGAAACATTTTAATATGAAACAACTTTGGCTCCTGATCGATGCATAAAGGACTAAATTTTAATCCACATTCTAATACTGAAATCATAAAAAAAAAGTTATTCGATTAAAATATTTGGTAAATGTGTCCAAAAAGTAATTCACGATCGATGATACAGAAGCAAATGATTGACTCGATTTTTGAAAAATCAATTTTTTAATAAAAACGATCGACATGATAAAAAGATGATCGATGTAGGATAGTGATCCATACGACAGTGATCGATAAAAAAGAAGAAAAAATAAAATACAAAAAGAAAACCAAAACTAACGAATACAGTATTATAAAGAAATGAACCGAAGTAAAAAAATCCAAAATTAGAAAATACAGCAAAACAAAGAATAAAGAATACAAAAAAAATCAATAATGAAAGAGCAATATATGAAAAATATGAATAAATCAACAAGGATATAAAATAAAATACCAATTTTCTATAATAGAAAAAAATGCTAATAGGATAAAAAATTTTGGAAATGATGTTCGTAATATCAACACGAAGAAAAAGTAATTGGCTCTGGTTGAAGTCGACATTCAATAAAAAAACTTCACGAAAGAAATTCGAAGTCTAACGAGTTTAAGTTCACTGAAAAGAAAAAAAAAATTAGAGAAGAGGAGACGAAATGACTTTGGCTTATAATGATGAAATTAGTTGAGGAAAAGTCAATGAAAAAGAGTGTGATAACTACAAAGTTTTGTCAGTGTTATATCTCTAATTTTTAATCTCCTTTTTCTTTTCCTTTCACACAATTCTCTCTCTCTCTCTTTCTCTCTATCTCTATCTCTATCTCTCGAATGGTGCCTATAATAATTCAATAAACTAGTGCCTAATATGGAATAAAATTTTAAATAAATAAATAATCGCGTGGATTAGTATATTCAATTGCTTGTGCTCTCGCATTATTTCAAGAATAACGAAGTTTACTTTCTTTTTTGTTCGGGGAAGAAAATAAATATTTAGTGATTAAAAAGAATTTTTGTTTCGTTCTGGTATGGGAGAAAAGTGCTTCATTTAATAAAAAAAAAAATCAGGTGTTTTTGTTCGATTTTGAAATACGATTAGTGAAATAATTTCTAGTGCTTTACTCAGTGATGTCACAATTAATGCTCTATAACTTGGGACACGCATCCAACGCGGGAAATGATACAAATAATAACGCTAATACCAATAGCAGTATGGAGGATGATGAGTCTTATGCACTGCCTACGATCTATAGGTATGCAATTAATAATTATAAAGGACAATGCAATAAAAATAATACAATGCAATAAAAAAACAAATAATAATATTATTAAATAAATATTAAAAAAATAAAATAAATAAAAATACTATCAATATTAATCTCTAAACCTAAAATATACCGATAAGTATACCATACTGATTCTAATTAGCGAATACACGCTGAGAATTTAATGAAATTTCACTAAATCGTAAATGAAATTCCATTGATTAATTAGCGTATTATACACTTTTTGAAATTAATGGTATTCTTATCGCTGGGACCTAGTGAAATTTTGCTAATTCAGATTTAGAGAGTAATAATGATAACAGTGCTCTACGAGTTTCATTTTTTACTCTCTAAATCCGAATTAGAATTCTACTAACAAATAGTAAAATTTAACTAATTGTTAGTAATTTTCATGACCGACTTTTTCACTTTTCGATTAGTGCACAGAAAAAAAAATTTATTTAATTCAAATAACCGATTACTTGACTATTATCAATTAAATATTTTACTTGAATCAAATAATTTTTATTTTAGACAATTTAAATGGTTCAATTCATATTTTCTTCAAATACCGAAATTATTGGTACTAAAATTAAATACTTAAATTATTAAATAAAAATTATTTGATTCAAGTAAATATTTATTCGTTAATAGATAATAGATAGGTAATTGGTTATTTGAATCAAATAAAAATTTTTTTTTCAGTGTAAAATATTAATTATTGTTAGTATAAAATTTTACTAATATTTTTGTAGAATTTCACTATATTGCTAGTCATAAAATTTACTAATTGACTAAGTGAAAATATTTTATCATGTTCAAAAATTTCAGACTTCATTAAAAAGGGAAAATAAGATTAAATAATTAGAAATTTGATATAATTTTTTTTTGTAACTTGACACAATTTTATTGCAATAAAATTTAAATTTGAAGAAGAAAATAAATAAATTTTGTTTATATGAACGTTCAGAACTTCAGAGACCAGTCAATAATTTAAATTAGTAATCATTTTTACAAATTTGAATTTAGAGAGAATATAAAAAGAAAGCAAAAAGTCAGTCACTAATTTAAATTATTAGTAATATTTTTTACTAATTCGAATTTAGAGAGAATGTTGAAAAGAACAATAATACTATTAACGTATCAAATTGCAACGAACTGATACCAAAAATGTGGATCAATTAAAAAAATTGGTTCAAAATTTTTTGTGTCATGAAATTGACTTAAATAATTATCTACATAGTTATATTTATTCGATAATACAGTAATCGACTATTAGAATCAAAAAAACTTTTTTAACTGTTAAAAGTTGTTTATACGAAAATAGAATATACTAAAATAAGAATCGAGTAAAAATAGAAAACATTCAAAACAACTTTTGTTCCATTATCATTTTAATGAATTTATATTCGACACAGAGATTACCTCTGACATATTTCTGACTATTTTAATTAATCAAGATCCACATGGAATTGAACATTTTTTTACTGCAATCGTTACCAACTGGTTGATTAGAAATAAAACTATTCACGTTAAAATTGCAAATTACATGATAGACAATATTTTTCGATTCATTTTAATCATCAAAATTTCATTTATTTAAAACAAACTAGTTTCTAAATTAGTTATTTTTAAAAAATTATTTTTAGTGTCAGTATTTTTTTCTTATAATTAATTATTTTTTACTAATTGCTGCAGCAAAAAGTCAGTCAACATTTTATCATAAGAACTAATTTTTTTTTATTTAATTCAGATTTAGAAAGAATGAAGAGACAAAAAGTCGTCCATGAAAATTATTAAAAATTTAGTTATTTTTTATTAAATAAAGAATAACGTTTTTTTATTTTTAATAAGCATTTTTTTAAAATTAATTTTAACTAATAATAATCAACAAATATGAAGCAAGAACGATTGTCAAAATTTCATGCGTGGTTATACTATCCGCCGGCTCAATTATTTTTAAATAATTACCAAACGAAACTTTTCTCATATTGGGGCATTCCGAATGAAATTTTCATTAAAAAATAATTTCTGTTTCGAACAACTTTTTTTAATTCTATGTAAAAAGTAAGAAAATACGTGTTTTTTTATTCTGTTATTGGATAAAAATTGTGGAAGTTATGATTTTTTTAAATTCAACTTCTTCAGAAGCCGAACAGTTTTGAAACACGTTTTTCTCTAATACAGCTATTAAACGAAATTTATTGTTTTTTTTTTTAAATTTTTTTAGATATTCAATAAAAATGACGTATTTACAACGAAAGTATCTAAAAAATTAAAATTAATTTCCAGCATTAGAACTATTAGAGAAAAATGTGTTTCAAAAGTCGTCGGCTCCTATGAAGAAGTTGCATTTAAAACAACCTCAAATTCCACAATTTTCATCTAATAGTAAAATAAAAAAATACGTACTTTCTTATTTTCAATAATATTCGGAAAAAATGGTTCCAACCAAAAAAGAATTTTTCATGAAAATTTCACCCGGAATGCCCCATTATAATAGATGTAATTAAAGCGAAATTTCAAAAGTCAAATAAAATTAGAAATGCAATTTCCCGATTGTATATGTACATATAGATAAATATTCTTGGCAAATATCCATGAGGAGAAAATTCTGATCATGATTTTCCAACAATTTCTTATGCAGATGTCGTGCTCCAATTGCAAGTTTAGATTGCATGGAAGAATTCAATGGAGTCGAATCTGGCGTTCATTGTAATGTATCAACGGGAACTAAGGAACAATTGCTGACGAGCTGTATAAGTTCACAATCACAACGACTACAACATCCATCGCCAGGCATTCGTTACCGCAACTTGGGGAAAAGTGGTCTGCGTGTTTCCAATGTTGGACTAGGTAAACACTTAATCGACTAAATAATTCAAATTGATTACAGAATTATATACAAGTAATTAAAATATATTTCATTCAACACTTGCGAGAATTATTCACTATTCATCCACTATTTGTCATTTTATTATTCACTATTCATACACTATTTACTATTATTATTCACTATTCGTACACACTATCCAACATTATACAAACTGAAATTTATTTACTTGAAAATTGATAAAAATCGGCCTAATAAAAATTCATTGATTTATTCATAAATAAAACCAATCGCAAAAAGCAAAACAAATTTAGATCAAGTAAAGAGAAGAAATAAGCATAAATAGAATTTCAAAAAATACAGAGAGAACTATATTTTGATGAAAAAAGTATTCCTTTTAATTTTTTCAATTTATTTTTAATTTCTTTTTCAATTTATTTTCTATTTCAATTATGTCCATGAAAAAGGATTGTTATGATTTAAATAAAAAACATGTTTTCATTTTAATCATGATTTAAATCAAATTTTTACAAAAATAGGTTTTTTAATCAACTTTGAACTCAAGGAAAAATGCAACAAAGAATCTGAAAGAATCGAAACAAAAGATGAAACTAAAGTTACGAACGTTTACGTCGACAAAATGAAATAAAAAAAAACCTAAATTTTTCAGTAACTATTGTATTTTCCGCCCCACGATTGGATTGAAAATCTGTTCAGGATGTAATGAAAATAATAATAAAGTTCTTTGTAACAAAAATTGTTTGCTTCTTGAACAATTATTAAAAGTTGCTTTTGAATAAAAATGTCAATTTTCAATCAATAAGAAACGATTTAAGTAACAAAACCTAATATTTAACGACAAATATTTCTTATTGAAAAAAAATTGTAATTTTTATTCAAATGCAACTGAAATTCAAATTAGCGCGTCTACAATTTTATCAGAACAGTTTTTAACCCAAAATCTTCAAACAGATATTTTGATGATTTTTTTCGGTTTTAAGGAAACAATTGTTTTTGATGGTCAGCTTTGACCCTAACTTCAGGGACCTAAGAAGTTCCCAATTTTTCGAAATGACAAACTTTTTGAAACAAGAAGAAACAAATATTTTCTACAAACGCTGAAAAATACTTTTTTTCAAAAAAAAGAAACCACTCGGAAATATTGTGGGGAATAAAAGTTTTAGATAGGTACAGTTTCAAAAAAAAAAAAAACCTTTTCTTGATATATAATGAAAAAAGAATTCAACGCTTTCGTGCTCTCGATCACGCGGAATTTCCTTGTGGAATTCACTGAACAACAAATTCACATTAAAAAAAGAAACTCTAATGATGCCACGCAACATGCACATTTTGTTTCTTTTCTACCGCGATAAATATTGATCAGTTTGTAACTCCCAGTGGAATAAAAGTCTCAGTTTATATTCATATCAGTGTCATAAAAAATTACCTTTCTACTCACAAAAATAAAACAACAAAATGTTTATTATACTGTTTATGCCTTGTTTTTAATATTTATATTTTTTTACCTATCAGACTATAATCAGACTTTTGTATGTACATTACTCAAAATAAATTATGAGGCTAAAGTCCGCAACGCTTTAAAAAAAAACGAAACATCAAAAGAGAATTTTTTTTAAGTCAAATTCATCTGTAATTTTCATTTTCGAAAATTACGAATAACTTCTTTTTTAAATAATAATATTTAATTATTATTTTTCCACAGGAATTATGATTTTCAAAAATTTGAAATTCAATAACTGATATAAAAATATTTATTGTAAAACATGAAGAAATAGATCACTCCGAGTCTTCGACTCGGAGTAATCGATTTCTTCATGTTTTACAATAATTAAAGATGACCGAGTGATAAAATCATTATTTTATATTATAATATAAGAATATTGTTACTGTAACTCCTTCATAAATTATTTTCATCATTTCAATTCCATTATTATTTTCTACATTTTTTAAATAAAATTCTTCTTTAAATCAATTATTTAATTAATTTTTATAAAATTTTTAATAAAGTTCTGTTAGGAATATTCAAATTCATTTGTTTACAATTCAATTTTACGAAATTTCAATTTATCGAAAATTCTTCAATTAAATGTTATTCAGGGTGTCTAGTATTTTCGTTCAACAAAATTCCCGGTTATTTACCGGATTTTCCCGGTTATGTCCAAATTTTTTCCCGGTTTTTTTTCTCATCAAATTTAAATTTAAATTTAAATTTAAATTTGATTTCAAAAATAAATAAATCTTAAAATTTTTTGAATTTTTCAAAAAAATAATCTTATCTCTTTATGATTATAATTGAAAATTTGATTTTTTAATTTTATTAAAATTATATTGATAATAATTGAATTTCTGCAAAAAAATTTCACTATTTATAAAAACAATTGAATCCTTCCAAAGAATGCTATTATTTATAAAAATAATTTAATTCTTGTGAAGAATTTTATTAAAAGTTTTGAAAATAATAATCATTAATAATTAAATATTTACTTAATAAGTAATAAACATTTAATCAGAAATTTAAAATTATAAAAATTTAAGAGAAGTTTAATAATATTTTTAGAAGCAAAAAATTGATTTAAAACTGTTAGAGGGACTTTAAATTTTAAAAATTAAATTATAATTACGGTCACTAACTTCCCTTGATTATTTTAGAAAATTTTTAATAAAATTCTTTAAAAGAATTCAATTATTTTCAAAAAATGTAAACAAATTTCAATTATTTAAAAAAATTTCAATTATTTGTTTAGAAAAATTCAATTATCTTGAAACAATAGAATTAAAAAATTACAACAATCTTATTTTTCAGAATTAAAAAAAAAATTTGCGAAAGTTCAATTTTATTAAACAATTTTAAGTATGTATATTTTTTTAAATTAAATAATAAAAATTTTAATTATTAATCTTCGCAGTAAGAAAAATGAATAGATTAGAATTTAACTCTTTATAATATTCAATTATTAAATTAAAATACTTTGAAAATTCTATTTGTTAAAAAGTTTCTAATGAAATTCTTTAACAAATTTAATTACATATTTTCAGTCGAATTGATTTTTTACTATCAAATTAATTATTTTTAACTAAATTAAATTTAGAGAACAGTATAAATACCTATAAAAATTGAAATAAAAAGTGATTTTTTAAAAACAAATTAAAATAATAAAACTTTTTTAATTTTGGTAAAAAAATTCCCGGTTTGGTATAAAATTCCCGGCTAATTCCCGGTAAAATAAAATTCCAGGTTATTTCCCGGTTTTCCCGGAATTTCCGGTTAGTAGACACCCTGATTAATATACATTTGAAAATAAAAAACTTGAAATAATTTTTAAAAATTTCGATTAAACTTTTTGAAAAAAATTAGTTGCACAGAATTTTTAATTAAATGTATGAAAAATTCAAATTTCCAAAGATTTTAATTTGAAACTTTTACAAAATTCATTTATTTCTAAAAAAATTGCAAATTATTAGTAACTTCTCCAAAATCCAATTATTACCTAAAACTTTTACCTGAAATTAATTTTTAAATCAATTTTTATTAGAAAATTCTACGAGAATCCAATTATTTAAATAAAAACAGATAATCTATTGAATAATTGAATAATTCTTAAAATTGAAATCTTATACATAATTTTATCGACAATTTTTTTTTTTAAATTGAATTCTTTCGACGAATTTTAATAACATTTTTAAGAATAATTAGATTTTTCGATGAATTTGATTAAAATTGTATTAAAAAGTAATTGAAATTGTTAATGAATATTGTTAATTATGATAAATAAATCCCTGAAAAGAATTAATAAATTTTATTAAAATAAGTATAATATTGAAAATTATTGAATTAAGAAAAGTTTTTGAAATTAATTGAATTATGCAATGAATTTTATTGACGTTCCAAAAATAATTAAATTTTGTCGAAAAATTTTGCTATTCATTTTTATAAAGATAATTGAAATGTTGACGAAAATTCTTTATCATTTTTTGAAAGTAATTGAATTTCTGCAAAGAACTTTATTAATTTTGAAAATAATTGAATTTTGCAATGAATTTTTTTAAAATTCCAAAAATAATTGAATTTTGTCGAAAAATTTTGCTATTCATTTATATAAAGATAATTGAAATGTTGACGACAATTTTTTATGATTGTTTGAAAGTAATTGAATTTCTGCGAAGAATTTTATTAATTTTGAAAATAATTCAATTCTTGTGATGAATATTGTTATTTATGAAAATAATTGAATTTCATAATGAATTTTGTTAAAATTCCTGAATAAAATTGAAGTTTGTCGAAGAATTTTTATATTTATAAAGATAGTTGAAATGCTGAAGAGAACTTTTTTTAAATTTTTGAAAATAATTGATTTTCTGGGAAGAATTATAATATTTATTAAGATTGCGTTAAAATAAATTATTGTAAGAGATAGAAAAAATGTAATTTTTGTTAGAATTCGTGGTAATTTCATAATATATGAGTCAGACAAAAAAATTGAGAATATTGTTATAAATTCTAAACATTTAAGTTTTTCCAGTACTTTTAATAAAATTCCCTGACTTTTCCCTGAATTCCCTGATTTTATTAGAGTAAATTTATTTTTTCAATTTTTAAAGTCGAATATCAAATTTGGGCTTTTTTTCATCAAATTGTAGTAAATAATTGCCATTTTTCATAGAATATCAAAAATATTTCAAAGAATTTTTAAATTGTAAAATTGGCGCAATATTTAAATGAATAAAAGGTACTTATACCTTACGATCAAAGTGATGAATTTTGAATTTTGATAGAAAAAAAAGAAAAAAAATCCTACTGGGAGGGAACGTATTCGAAAAAGATTGAGAAATTTTTCATGAGGATGTTCGAAAGGAAAGGGGAATTTTTCATGAGCTTCAGTATAGATGTGGATGAGAAAATTTCGTTTGTGAACTTGCACTTTAGAGACAAGATATATCCGAGATTGTAAAGGGATGTTTGTAATCTACTAAAATATTTCTCTTCGACTTACTGTCTTTCAAAAAATATATATATTCTAAATTAGAAACCACTAAAGTAACATAAATATCAAGATTTCTTAATAAAACTTTTGTTCTTCATCGTAATTTTTAGTGCAAGAAAAGTAAACTGATCGCTAAAATTTTTAAAAAACATTTTTAAAAACCAAAAAGTGTGATGATTTATTTATTTTTGATTCTAATTCATGTTTTATTTTTATTAACTAAATAATTATTATAATAATTATTAATTAATTTCCTATAAAAATTAACTCAAGATGAATTTGACTTAAAAAAAATTCTTTTCTTAACTTTTCGTTTTTTAAAAACATCGCAGACTTTTCAGCTTCATGATTTTGTTGCATTATTTTTGAGTAATATATTTAATGAAACTTTTCCCGTTGATCAAAGTTGTGGACTTATCAACTTTTAATTAACATTTTCCTATAAAGTTCTTAACGTTGAAATGAACGAAATTTCTTTCTGATTAAATATTTTTAAAAATTTACTCCAGTAGAATCGAAAATAATGTAAATTAAATTTTTTCTTTAGTTAAGAATTAATTTCTTAAATATAGAAAATAATTTTTTAAATAAAATATACTAATTAAAAGAAACTAAATAAAAAAAGTAACGGAAAAATATCGTCTTTCATTTGAGCGTTCAAAACTTACGGATCGTTAATTAACGCAGTAAAACCACGAACAACTTGGCCCTATTCCAACTATAATTATTAGTAGAAAACAACTGATTCATTAGTCAAATTTAACATAATTATTTGCAAAGAAATTTCTAATTTCATAGATATAAATTCTACTAACTTTTTAGTTATTTAACATAATCTAAAAATTACATTATAACTAGTGGTTAATATTTAGTCATTTTTTACTAAAAATTATTCAATATTGTTTACTAATTTATTTAATAAACAAATTTTATTTTTAATTCAATTTGAATTTTTTTAATTTCAATCATTAATTAAATTTGATTTTTGATTAGTCAAAAGAGTGACTAATTAGAATTAAAAGAGCAATAAAATTTAAAGAAAAAATAATTTTCTGAAAATTACAATGAAATTTTCTTCGTTCGGATGTTCGGAATTTATTATAATAAATATAAATTGTTTATTTGTTTTCTATATTTATAGGAACGTGGACAACGTTCGGAGGTGTTGGAGGATCGAATAACGAAGAAACAGCCGAAGCCGTTGTGACACTTGCTTATGACAGTGGGATAAATGTGTTTGACTTGAGTGAAGCCCACAGTGGGCACAAGGCTGAAATTCAATTGGGGCGAATTCTCTCGCGTCGAAACTGGAATCGTTCCAGCTATGTCGTTACAACGAAAATATACTGGAACACCAAGTGAGTTTTAACAACCAAAAAAAAAAAAAATTTCTTTCGACCTCAAGAAGAAAATATTTCTCTCCTCATCGACTCTTTTGCGCCAAACGTTTAATCTTCTCCCTCCCCAATGAATTGTCTCTTAAATTATTTCCCTACATTGGTGCAGATAAGAAAAACATTTTTCTAATATACATGCGAATAAAATTAACAAAACGAGAACATAAACCTTTTTTTAAATATAGTTCAATGATTTAAAGAAAATTTTAATTAAATATTTCACGAAAGAATTAAATTGTTTTTAAAAATTTTAATTATAACTTTCTCGAAAAGAATTCAATTTAGGATATTTTTCAAATTTTAATAAAATTTCTCAACACAATTCAATTATTATTAAAAGTTTTGATAACATTTTTTATAAAAATTCAATTATTTTAAAAAATTGTAATAAAATTCAAGAATTCAATTATTTCCCAAAAAAAAATCTAATCAAATTTTCAATTGCAATTATAAACAAACACGATTATATTGAAAGTTTGAAAAAATTTTAAAAAAAATTCAATTACTTTTAAATTTTTCAATTAAAATTATTTAAATTAAAATTACCGAATGATAAATTTACTTCCTTTAATTAAACCTTAAAGAACTTTTTCAAAAGAATTCAATCATTTTCAAATATTTTAATGAAACTTGTTGTTATTAACTAACACATTTAATTATAAAAACTTGAAAGAAATTCTTTGTAAAATTCATTTTTAGATTCTTCAATTAAAATAAATTTAAAATACTGTATTATTTTCATAAAAACTTAATGAAATTCTTCAAAAGAATTTCATTAATTACGAAAACGAATAAAATTCTTCAGCAGAATTCAATTTTTTTTATCAATGATTTTAATGAAATTCAATAATAAAATTATAAATTACAATAAATTATTAACGAAATTGATTATATTGCAGAAATTAAAAAATGGTTTGAACGAATTCAATTTATTGTCAAAAACTTAAATAATATTTTTCAAAATAATTCAATTATTTTCAAAAATTCTAATTAAATTCTTCGAAACAATTCCAATATTTTTAAAAATAATAATATTATTATTATTATTATTAGGTATTACACTCGACTCTCGGATCTTTTGCATTCAGTTCTTTTACACTCTCGCTTCTTTTGCAATTTTTCTCCCGCATCTTTTACCTTTTATATTAAATAAATAAATGACTATCAAATTGTCAAAACATTAATTTCGCGATAACTTTGGTTATCTAAAGTAAATTAGAACAGCACCTCCATTATGTGATTAAAATTATATTAAAGTTTTAATTATTATAAATGTAAATATTAAAACTAAAACATAAATACTGTCATTAATTTACATATTTGGTTATACATATTGTTTTGTTTTTCGTTACCATGGCATTTGTTTTGGTAAAAGGTATGAGAGGATTTGGTCCCGTAAGTGAAAAAGATCCGAGAGTCGAGTGTATTTCAATTATTCTTAAAACAAATTTTAATTATAAATTTCTCGAAAGAATTCAATTATTGTTAAAAGTTTTAATAACATTTTTTATATAAAAATTGTTAATGATAATTATAATAATTTTTGAAAATAATTATTCTTTAAAATTATAAATATAATAATAAATTGATAATAAATAATAATTTTTATAAATTGTAATAAAATTTTAGGAAAAATTCAATTATTTCTAAGAAAAATTAATAAAATTCAAAAATCAAATTTTTTAATTGCAAATATAAAAAACACGATTATATTCAAAGTTTGAAAGAAGTTCTTCATAAAATTCAATTATTTTTAAAATAATTGCAATTAAAATTGTTTTTATAAACTACATTATTTTCAAGAACCTCAAAGAATTTCTTGAAAATAATTCAATTTTCAAATATTTTATTCAAATTCTTTGTGGAAATTTAATTATTTTCATAAATAATAATAAAATTCTTTGTAGAAATTGAAAATTATTTTTAATACATTTCTAAAAAAATTTCTGGAAAGAATTCAATTATTTTCATAAATATAATAAAATTTCAGAAAAAATTTTTATTTTTTATTAATAATTTATTATTTTCATAAATAATAAAATTTTTCTTGAAAATTTAAATTATTTTCTAATTCAGTATAATATTTTTAGAAAAAAAAAGAATTGAAACAGAAAAAGAAATTTAATTCACTTTGAACGTTGAAAATTTCACAGTGAAATAAAAAATGTATAAAATATTGTTTTAAGAAAAACAGTACCTAATGATGAAACATATTTCAATGAGAAATAAAAAAAGCGGATAAATATTTTTTAACAAAATAGACAGATAAATTTTCGAAATTAATTTATTGATTTTTAATTGACAGAACGGAAGGAAGAGGACTTTCACGAAAGCACATTATCGAGTCTGTGCAAGCATCTTTAGCAAGATTACAATTACCATACATTGACATTGTTATGATTCATAAAGCTGATCCAATGTGTCCTATGGAAGGTATAAAACTACATCAATCTTTATTGATTTACCGCAAAAATAAACCCATTCGATTAATATTTTTTTAATCAATTCTCTCTCTAAATCCGAACCACTAATTAATATCAAGACATATTTTTAGTCAAAATGATCAAAATTTTCTATTTTCTTTTTTTCTTTTTTTTTTTGACTATTTTAAGAGAATTTTTTTTATTATATTAAAATATAACGGAAAAATAACTAAAAAGTACAAAAAACATTTTTGGCTAATTCTCAAATAAAAATAATTTTCTATTCCAATTTAGTTCATTTTTCCGCATAAAAATATATATAAAAATATACGAATTCGACTTTGAAATTGCATTTGAAGCAAAAAAGAAAGAGAAATAGAGAAGATAATAAATAATTCGGTGTTTCTTCTTTCAGAAATAGTACGTGCAATGAATTATGTAATTGGTAAAGGTTGGGTGATGTATTGGGGAACATCGAGATGGACTCCTGTTGAAATTATGGAAGCATACAGCAATTGCAGGCAATTTAATTGTGTAACTCCAATTGTCGAGCAAGCGGAATATCATCTTTTTTATCGAGACAAACCAGAACTTTATATGCCCGAATTGTACAATAAAATTGGTAAGAAATCCAATTTATTATTTCGATCTATCAAAAATCGAAATATATTTTTTTTCTGATTAATAGGGCTCGAACCAGTGAATTCTTCAATTAAATATATATTAGAAAATAAAAACTTAAAATAATATTAGAAAAAAATCCGCAATTAAACTTTCTCAAAAAAAAAATTAATTTCACAGAATTATATTTCCATTATTTTTATAAATAATAAAATTATTCGCAGGAGTTCAAATACTTTAAAAGTAAATTTTCATTATTAAATTTCACGAAAGAATTCAATTATTTTTTCAAATTTTAAATAATTTATTCGAAAGAATTCAATTATTTTCAAAAATTCTAATTTAATTTCATCGAAAAATTTTAATATTATGTATTTTTATAAATAATAAAATTATTCACAGGAGTTCAATTTTAATTATTAAATTTCAAGAAAAAATTCAATTATTTTTACAAATTTTAATTAATAATTTTTTCGAAAGAATTCAATTATTTTCAAAAATTCTAATTTAATTTCTACTAAAAAATTTAATTATTTTTATAAATAAAATTATTCGCAGATGTTCAATTATTTTTAAAGCAAATTTTAATTATTAAATTTTAGGACAGAATTCAATTATTTTTACAAATTTTAAAGATCCTAAAGTTCTGAACGTTCAAATGAACGAAATTTATTTATTTCTTCAACAAATTAAATTTTTATTGCAATTATTTTGCGTCTCTAACCAAAAAATTAATTACTGAGTTTCTAAACGTAAAATTTCAGTTTGTAAATTTTTTTGTGATTAGTAATGCATAAAAATATCTTCAATAAAAAATATTTCGTTCATTTGAACGTTCAAAACTTGGGGATCATAAATTTTAATTAATAATTTTTTCGGAAAAATCCAATTATTTTTCTAAAATTAATAAAATTTCTGAAAAGAATTCCATGCATTATTGTTAAAAGTATTAATAATATTTTTTATAAGAATTGAATTATTTTCAAAAATTGTAATAAAACTCTAGGAACAATTCAATTATTACCAAACAAAATTTTCATTACTAAAAAAAATTTAATTAAACTTTGTCAAAAAAATTAATTTCAAAATTCAATTATGTATTTCTAAAAATTCACGCTATAATGTTTTTAATATTAAATTATTATCTAAAATTTTAAGTGGAATTAATTTTTAAATCAAATTTTTAAAAAAAAAATTTTACTAGAATTCAATTGTTTAAATACAAAAAAAACAATTTATTAAATAATCGCATTTGTTTTTTAAATTTAATTCTAATAAAGAATTTTATCAACAAATTTTTTTAAATAATTAAAGTCTTTTCACGATTTTTAATAAAATCTTTAAGAATAATTACATTTTTCGAGGAATTCGATTAAAATTGTATTAAAAATAATTGCAATTCTGCGATGAGTTTTATTATTTATGAAAATAATTGAATTCCTAAAAAGAATTTTATTATTTACGAAAATAATTGAATTCCTGTAAAAATTTTATTATTTATGAAAATAATTGAATTATTGCGAACGAAATTTATAAAAAATTTGTAAATAATTGAATTCTTGTGAAATTTTTATTATGTCATAAAAATAATTAAAGGTTTGCGTAGAATTTTATTAAATTTTTATTTAAATTGAATTCTTTTAGAAAATTTTATTAAAAATAAGTAGTACATATTAAAAATCATTGAATTGATAATTTTTGTAAAATAATTTAAATTTTGCCAAGGATTTTATTAAAATTTTTGAAAATAATTGAATTTTGAAGAAGAGTTTATTATTTCTAAAAATAATTGAAATTTTCACTAGAATTAAAAAAAAAATTTGAACATAATTGAATTTCTGCAAAGAATTTTATTACTTTTAAAAATAATTGAATTTCTGCAATCATTTGTAATTTTTCTAAAATTCTCCAAATTATATCGTACAATTTACAAAGTTTACGTCTTTTCTCAATCAAATTACGAACTTTGCGGACCTTTTTTCAAAAAAACTGACTTTTACGGACTTCAAGCAAATTTACGGACCTTTACGGGATTTTCAGACCTAGTTCGAGCCCTGTGATTAATTATTAATTAATAATACAAATAAATTATTCTGATTAAGGGCATTTGAACCATGATGACGTCACAACCTTAAAACACATGCTTTGCAGAACCTATGACGTCATAATGGTTCAAATGCCCTTAAATTAAATTAATTTTGTAAATTAATTACAAATTTTTTTCCCTGGGGGGATTTTAATTTTCCATTGACAGGTGTGGGACTAATGGCATGGTCCACAATTACAATAGGCATGAGCTCATCAAAACCTGAAGAGGGAATGTCTTCACTTTTATCTAGATCTTCATACAAAGTAAGAAATATATGTCGATAAAAATTTTTCTTTCTGCACAAGTAGGAATTTTATATTTCTCTCTTTTTTTTTAAACGAAAAGACATAAAAGAAAATGACAAGTAATATTTGTATTATGCGAAACTAACGAATATGGAATGTCGTCGATTCATATTTTAGAGAAAAAAATGTCAGAGAAAAAACGGGTTTTTAAGAATAGAGACAATTGTGTATGCTAGTATTAACTTTCTGGAGAAATTTTTGTATTATTAAAAAATTGTTTATATATTCTTTTCTAATTTAAATAATTAAAATATTTTTTAATCGTAAAAATTAATAAATTCGATTATTTAAAAATTTTGTTGTATAATTGTTTGTAAATTTTGTTAATTTTTTAATAATTAAAATACTTGTTAATCGTTAAAATTAATAAATCTGATTATTTAATATTTTTTTGTACATAATTGTTTGTAAATTTTTGTAATTTTTCTTTGTTTTATCATTTAAAAAAGTTTAGTGTCTAATTAACGTGTTCGTGAAACGTGTCGTTGTAATCGCTTTGTATTTTCAGAATAAATATTCCTCATTCAGTTGGACAGAAGATGAAACCCAATCTTTATACAAAGAGGTGCGTTTCATCGTAATTCTTGAGTAGATTGGCACATATAATTTTTATAAAAAAAAGAAAATTTAATTTCCCGAATCAAAGAAATGAGAGAAAATGAATAAATTATTTTGATTCAGGGTTCCGATTGTAAGGAAAAGTCCACCACGGACGAAGAACCACCAGCTCGAAAATATTCGGATAAATTAAGGGACGTTTGCGCTTTGGCAGAAAGACTCGGTTGTTCTTTTGCACAATTGGCAATTGCGTGGACCTTGAAGAACGACAGTGTTCAGTGCCTTCTTCTTGGAGCGTCAAGCATAGAACAACTCTACGAGAGCCTTCAAAGTTTGCAGGTAATAAATCTTTTCTAATTTAATTATTTTTTGATAACGATTTAATTAAAAAAGTATCGCACTTTGGAAAAATGAAAAAAATTAATGTTGAAAAAACGAAATTGAAATTTTTTAGTCGAACTGACTTTTTTCTAATTTTGTTTTAATAATTTTTGTCCACTTTGTCGAATAAATTGAATAAAATGAGAAAATTGACTCACCGGTCGCTGACTTCTTTGGGATTTCCTTGGCGATCGGGTAAATTTCGAGTAGACTTGCTGCATCAATCTTCTCTTCTTAAGATAAAAACACTATCACAAGAATCAGTCGTTAATTTCACATAAGTTATCCACGAAATGATCACTAATAGAATTCTTTAACAACACAAGAGATAATCTCACACTTTTTAACAGTACTCTCATCTAACGTACATTTATTCTTCTTCTTAAATGACTTCTTGTAGAAACAATTTGTCAGAACCAACACAAATTTTATTAAAATAGAATTTTCCAAAATCCACACAATGCCACTAGGTTAAGTGCGAACGACACACAATGTTAAACAATCATAAAACACAAAACACTTTTTTTACTTCACTTCACTTGTTCAATTCACTATTTAGATAAAAACTGATTCTAAATTCAATAATATTGATAATAATAGATAACTCTCTTGAAAATAAGCTTTAAAATGTTTAATTATTCGAGAAAAAGTAATTACTCTTGCCCGGAATGTGACTGATGACAATTTGGCGCGCACGAAACTGAACACCAGGGTGGGGTCACTCGGTAAACATTGTTGAAAAACCTTCTTTCGATTGTAGCGCTTCAGGTTGGTGGCCATTTCTAGAAACACTCGTCTTTCCCCCCTCCACTTCACAAAGTAATTTCTGAAGAAAGAATACTTTTCAACAATAAAATTTATTAAAAAAAGGGAACGATTCACTGAATTTATGAACTATATGCAAAGAATTTACTAAATAATGACGAATTCTTAATAACAAGAAAGAAATCACGAATTTTTATAGTAATTGATGAAATAGGGACATTTATAGAAATCGCACTCTTGACAATGGCGACAAGGTAGAAAAATAATTTAAAGGATCTGCTACGTTATTCCGAATATTACAATATATTAAAGTTTATTAATGGAAAATAAACAAGAAATTTTTGTAAAATATTCCCGACACACACAGTTTTTGAGAATATGAAATGAAAACAAACCAGCACAGCCCAAAATCAACGTCTAACTGTTTTACTGTTAAGAAAAAACACACGATTAATGCACGCACACTCTATTTTCTTATCAATGAAAGGCACAAATTTAGTCTTAGAATGTTCCGAGAAGGGAAAATATTTGAGAAATCTATTATTTTATTCGTTTTTGATCGAAAGAAGAACGATAAGTTGACACACGCACGACCCGCACCAGAATGACAATCAGGGTGCGCTCGCTAGGAATGACGAGTAGACAGGGTTGGGTAGTTATAGGTAAACTCGATTTTAATTGGTTGGTAATATTTAGCAGAGCCAATAAGAAATGTTGTTTATCTTCCGATGCATTACGACTCAGCCCTGCTCGTCTTACTTTATTGTTTATTTATAACCTTAAAATATGTATAAATTCAGAACTTTCGGGATTTTCTAATTTTTTTAAATAAAAGAAGCCAAAAAATAAATATCTAAATTTTCTTCATTGTGTGCTATTTGATTTACTTGATTTATGAAACATGGAATAAATTAATATCATAAATAAAAACAAAACTATGGACATAAATTGAAGAAAAAGGAAATCTCAATATTTACTACAGTTTTGGTTCACAAATTATAAAATTCTTCTTAGGGATTCAATTATTTTCTCAAATAATAAAACTTATCGCAGAATGTTAATTACCTTTAATACAATTTTAATCAAATTTCTCGAAAAATTGAATTATTATTCTTAAAAAAAATTCGTTTTTGTGGCAACCCTGAAAAAGATATAAAAAAAATAATAGATATCAATTAGCTAATGTTGTTATTTTCCTTTTCAGCTCATTCCAAAATTAAATACAACAATGATGACGGAAATTGAGAGGATACTGGAAAACAAACCGTCCCGACCACCGATGGTATCAACTTTGGCTCTTAGATGACAATCGATTTGCCCCCACGGAAGTCGTGGGGGCTCAATTGAAGAAGGCGGTGCAGCCAGTCCAAAAAGTGAAGGTGGCATCAGCCAAGAACAGGAGCAGAGCAAAGAAGGAAGCCAGAAGCTTTCTTTCTGCCAAATACAGTGAGAAATTCATGCCTTTTATCTATGATTTCAAAATGAATAATCCTGTTCCGCTTCAATGTGCTTCCTAAACAACAAACACTATAATATCGTCTATAACTCAAAAAAAAAGAAAAACAATAATCAACGACGATAATAATTTTAAAGAAGCATAATTCACTTTTACAAGGGGAAAACAATCCTCTCCAAAAAATAACCATTGATAAACAATAAAGTGATACTTCGAATAATTTTTTAAAAAGTAATCTCGAAACGAATTAACCAATTAACTATGGCGATTTTTTAAAATAAGCAAAAAAATATATTCGTTCATGCCTTTAAAAAACACTTTATACTTGGCCAAATTTCTTATTTTTTAATTATATTCGCATACGAACTATTTAATCGCTATATTAAAGAATAAGTTTAACGAAAATTGAAAATAATTTTCAATTGAGACATAATTTGTCATAAAGAAATTACGAACGAAATTGAAAAAAAAATTTTTTGTCTCTATACCCGATAAAATGAATATGTGATTACAATAATAGCGAATATTTGAATAAAAAAATATGTCAAACGTGACATTTTTTTAATGAAGATGAGAAAAAAATTTTTGACTGGCTTGACCAAGTGAAACACAACGAACAACATTATAGCACTGTGTTTCTACTATTCGTATAATATTTTCAAAATAATTATTAAATAGTCCCTGCGTCGAAATTCTTTTCGACCTTTTGGTAAAAGAAAAAAAAATGAAGTGCGAGCATACAACACTTTATAATTGAATAATAAAAAAAATTCAAACTGAAATTAATAATCAGTAATAAATTATAATAGTGCATTTTGATGGACAAACGTGATAGTTCATTGCCATTTGTCCCTCCAATGTATTTTTAATCATATTCATATTGCTCACGTAAAAAAAATAAAAAATGATTCTAGAATTATTACTAAATTCTATATATTAAATATTTATAATCGAAAATATAAAGAAAAAATTACTTGTAACTATCATCTCGCGATTAAAAAAAATAGCTAGTGATAGAGCAAGATTCTATTCTATTCTCTCAATCGCATTTGCGATTTTGCTCACTTGACCTTAACAATGTTCATTACAATAAAAAAAAATTCAAATTAATTCAAATTTTAAAGTATTAATTCCAATTTTTAAAGATGTATGTAATTTTTTAAATTTATTTTCTTTACAAACTTATTGAACATTGTTAATGTCATTATAGTAGCGCTCAAAATGCCGTTATAGGTAGCAAAGAAGCGTAAAAGTTTTACTATTTTACTGTAGAGTGTAAGAATTCTTAAGAGTTGCAGAACTTTTACAAAAAAAAACAATTTAAAACTTTTAAAATATAAATATAAAGATTAAAATTTTTTTAAATTTTGTTTCAAAGTAAATTTTATTAAATTCTAATATGAAAACAAAATAATAAAATATAGAATAATTTTTACAGTAGATAACTTCCCTCAAATTTTAAAACAATTTGCAATTAATAATTAATAATTATAATAAAATAAAAATACAGTTATAATAAATTGTTATTGATTTTAATTATTAGTAACTAGCAAATGTTACGCGAGTTAAACTCGATATTCCGATTTTTTATTATTCTTATGGAAATTACAAAATTTTTATTATAACTTGAATTTTTTCAAAATTTCGGATTGTATTTATAAATTTTCTTTGCAAAATTTTTCGAAAGAATTCAATTATTTTTAGAAATTGTAATTAAATTTCTTAAAAGAATTCAATTATTTTTAAAAGTTTTGATAACATTTTTTATAAGAATTTAATTTATTTGAAAAATTATAATAAAACTTTAGGAAAAATTCAATTATTTTCTAAAAATTTTATTAAAATTCAATAAACAAATTTTTAATTGAAATTATTAACAAAAACGATTATTTTCAAAATTTGAAAAAATTCTTCGTAAAATTCAATTACTTCCAAAGTTTTTAATTGCAATTATTAAAAAAGACAATTTATTTTATAAATTTGATCGAAATTCTTCGTAATATTTAATTACTTCTAAAATTTGCAATTAAAATTATTTAAAAAAATTTTTTTTCAAGTTTTTATCGATTTTTCAAAAAAAATTCAAAGAAATTCTTCAAAATAATACAATTTTCAAATATTTTAATAAAATTCTTCACAAGAATTTAATTATTTACATAAATAATAAAATTTTTCGAAACAGTTCAATTATTTTCAAAAATGTTGATAAAATTCTTCTCAAGAATTCAATGATTAATATTGTATATTACAATTATTGTTAAATGAATTTAATAACTGTAAAACATTTTAATAATCGTAATATATTATTTAATATTTTTATTTTATGATAATAATTAATATTAATTTAAAAATAAATTTTTTTTGTAATCATGAAAAAAAAATTGTGTTGTTTTATTAATAATGAAAACAACGTGAAAACAACTCTAATAAAACAAACTACTAAAATATAGTGAAATTTTATAAGCGGGAAAGTGATAAGTAACATATAAACTGCGACAGTCAATCTAGAATATAATGAAAAGTGTTTTTAGATTGCCAATCTTAAGAATTCTTATGAACTTGATTAACTCTTTAAAAATACATTTTATACGAGTATCATTCAGAGTTTATTATCAAATTAACTATATTAATCGAAGGCACGCTTTGTTTTCTTTGTAATCTATTTATTTAATAATATAAAATATTTTTTAATTTTATTATTTAATAATATAAAAATTTATTTTAAAAAATTTTCATAAATTTTTATATTTAATATTTAATACCGAAATAAAAAAAACCGATTGCTTTTTGTATAAATTAATTTTTTTTTAATTTATAATCATTTTAAAATCAAAATGATTCCCTTGATTGATTTCAATATTTAAAAATATTTGTCAACAACTTCAATGCCTTTTCAGCATCTTGAAATATAGTGTGCAAGGCAAATACGAAAGATGACAATATATTCTTGATAAGATAAAACATATGCTCAGTGAATGTGTAAAAAAAAAGTAAATCTTTATTTTTTTCCTGAAAAAAAAGAATTTTATTCAAATTCTTGCCAGTAGACAAATTATATTATCGCAATTATGTCAGCGTTTTAAAATCCGATTTTATATTCTTTCATCAATCAAGAATATGATGAATTAAATTCTCTTTTTTTTTCTTCTCATTACGTGCCTTCGATTTCATTTTCTGCAGTAACTCTTAGACTAAAATAGGACGATTTTTCAGATTAAAAACAAAAGAAAAACCTTAATTTTATAGTATCATATCAACATTAAGGTGATAAAATCATTATTAGTAAATACTGAGGTCCATTTACACATATAAAAATGCAAATATTACGTAGGGATTTTTGTCCTTTTTAGAAATGTAATTTTTTCTAATTTTAAAATTTAATTTATTAATTTTTTTACTCTCCGATTTACTTACGAAAATTGAAATTCTACAATTTCGAAAGAATTAAATTCTTTGAAAAGAATTTTGTAATTTTGGTCCATAAGAAAAAGATTTTTTGGAACATTTTATTTTTAAGAGGACAAAAAAATTATCATCAATAATAATGTTCCTAAACGGAGCACATTTGATTTATTCTCAAGAAAAACTGAGAACTTTGTAAGCGCTATCTGTGCACCAATTAAAATTATGCGAAATTTTTCATAAAAAAAAAATTATAATAATTAATAATAATATTAAATAAATCTCGAGAATAAAACGCAATACAAATAAGGATTCTTATATTATGAAAACAAAAAGGAATCTATAATTTTTTGGTAGAAATTTTAATCCTATATACATAATATAATGAGGAAAATTTTATTCCGCGATGGGAAATCGTGACAAAATTTTTATCAACAATAAAAATCGCGATTACTATCTAGATAATTTTATTCATATAAATAGAAACTCAAGTACGAGGGACTTTTCAGTATTTCGCCATTTCAAAGTCAAAAAAATAAATAAATAAAATATTGACAATTAAAGAAAAAATTCATTAATATTTAGTTAATAGATCGAGTACAAAAAAAAATCTTCTTTGACTATAGAAACATAATAGTTAATTATACATAGACAGATTTATTAGTGTTATTATCTAATTATCTCGAAACTTGTTATAATGATAATAAATAAGCTTTCAGCCTTATTAGGTTTTTATGCCTCATCGACATCGAAAGCAATATATAATTCTGGCGATTAAAAATCAAATGCTTAGTATGATTTTCGTATAATTGTCGACGGAAGATACTACCGCGAAGATTAGCGATAAAAGAATTTTTATTCTTATTTATTTTTTTTTTTAGTTGTCATGCCGTGATTCACGTATTGATTGTAATTAGCGAAACTTTATCATTAACATCTATTCAGAAGGCAATCTTTTCAAATAAACGCAAAAGATAATAAAAAAAACTTTGTCAGATTAGTAAAAAAGCTTAATACCAAGTTTTCGAAAAGCGTTCTATCTTCCGGAGTATTAAATAAATAGTCCTTTCCATACATTTATCGAAATATATTATAATAAAAAAAAATATATAATTTTCAAATGGCAGCAAAATTTCTCAATGAGAAATTAGAATTTTTCGATTTTTTAGAAGGTAAATGTTTTTTTTTTCAAGAAAAGAATTTTCTTTTTCTTTTAATTGTAAAATGAAAAGAAACATCTTTTCTCTATTTTTTAAAACGGTTTGAAATTGTTTACAATGCACTAATTTCTAAAGAAAGGACGAAAAATAAATTATTTTCTACGAGCTAATTACACTGCTGCCTCATTGAGGAATAAATTGTTTAATACATCTTTATAAATAATAATAGATCAAAGCCAATTGACTGCTTATTGTTATTTTTTTTTGTAATTGAGAAAAGAGAACCGCAAAAGATTTTTTATGAAAAAAAAAATTTAATTAGAAATACACGCGTCTCGCTTCGTAATTTAATTTACATTATCGGAAAATGTTAATTTCTCTTTGTATACTAATATTCTATGTAAATTAATAACAATTAAATTATTTGTTTTTAAAAATGTTTTGTTTAAAATAATTTAACTGTTATTAAATAAGTTAATCAATATTTCGTTACAATTATCAAAAATATGGAAATTTAAATAATTCATTCTTCTATTTGTAAGAAAGTCGAATTATCAAAATTCTTGAAGACGAATAAAAAAACGAAAAAGTTTAATAAAATGTTTAAACGAACAAATTTAAGGGACATTGCATTTCTCAGGTATACAATGAAAATAATTATATGCGAATGTCCAAATTTTAATGAATGTCACTTTAAATAGATTTATTGAAAAAACATATCTATATTATTTATTTTTGTTAAGTAAATATTATTTAATTAATGATAATAATTCTATTATTATTACTATTATTATTATTATTATTTTTATTATAATATATTAATTAATAAAATTAATATCGATATTAGTATAATTAATATCGATTATTAATAATAATAATGATAATAATTCTATTATTTATTAAAAATAAAATGATAGAATAATCATTATTGTTAAATATAATTGATTTAAATTTTCTTCAACATTTGTAAATTGTATATAATTCTTCAAAAATATTCGTTATTGTAATTTAATGTTAACTTGTTATTTATATTATTTGTTATATAGGAATAGTGTATTTGAATATTTATAGAAATTTTATCGCAAATTTTAAATATTAAATCAAACACGTTATTTGTTGTAATTTTGTTAAATTGTTATATGTATAGATATAAATCATTGTTCAATTGTTATATTTTTTAAATAGCGAGATTTGTGTGTTTCACGAAAAAAAAAATTTTCTGAATGCAAGAAAAAAAACGAAATATTGTAATATTGTTTTTTTTGTTTGCCACTGCAACAAATTTTCTTGTCACGATTTTAAAAAAAAGAGAAGTGATTATTATTGCCAATAGAAAGTTACTTTTCTACCGAAATTCGTATTTCTTATTTACATCTCTCTCTCTTTCCTCAAGAATAAATCCTTTCCTAGAAAATAAATTCTGATTTTTCATTAGACTTTTTTTATTTAGAAAACAAGCTTAACAAGATTCGTTGCTCATCTATTGAAATGTTTTCTCAAAAATAAATTCAGATTTTTCATTCACTTTTTTTTTGGTTTATTTATAGAAAAAAAGCCAAACAAAGATTCGTTGCGCGTCTATTAAAATGTCAGTTCTTTGCACATAAATATATAAATACATAATATCGCTTTCAATATAAAAAATTATCAACTATTAATTATCATTATGATTACTATTCTTATTATTAAAATTATTATTTCTTATTATTCTTGTTATTATAATTTTTAAGTATTATTATTATTAGTACAATGAAAAAGAATATTTAAAATCGTTTTTCCTTAAAGTTCAATTAATTTAGTATTTACTGAAAATTATTTAGCTAAAATATTAGCTAGTCAATTAGCTAAGAACATCAATTAATCTACCTAAATAGATAATTAAATAAATTATTATCAATTTATTTATTATTAAATTGATAATAATTATTATTGACTTGATGATAATAAATTTATCAATCGATCAAAATTTGCGAATTTTTTACTTTAAGGTAACAGAATTTAAAATAATTCCTTCTGTATTTATTAATAAATTACCTAGTAATTAATCTATTGATATTTCTTCATTGAAGAAAAAATAGATTTCTTTCATGCCTCATTAAAAGTTGCTATGTAAATCTTTCTTTCCCTCCAGCAACTCGTTAACAATTTTCCTTTCTTTACAACTTTTCTTTAAATCTCTTATTCCTTTTGTCTTCTACTTTTACGTAGATTTTTTTTTTGTAATTAAAATAATTAATTACAAATAACTTTTTTTTCCCATGAAAGATTTCAACTTGTGACCATGAAAAAATATGATTTTTCTTTTAATTATTGTCAATCGTCACACATTGGCCAATTGACAAAGAAGAATGTATTCAATTCTAAAAGAATGGCAATGACTAAATATATCGTATACATAACTAGACATGCCAGCCCTACTTTTTTATTTAATTTAAATCCGTAGTACGCGGTGACCGCGTAAAAACCTACGACACAAATTATTATTGCTAATACACTATAGGCGATGGCACCGCTTTGAATTTGTACATTTTTTCCACTTAATAATACTTTTATTGTCCAGGGCAGTCCCAGACAGAAAAGAATGTCCAGAGTATTTGCTCCTAGAGTATTACTCATTGCCATATCTCCATGATCTGATAAAAGAATAATTATTGAAAATGTAAAGAGAATTCTCATTTTACTCGAATTTTAATCTCTTATTTCAAAATGAATGAATAATAAATAATGAAATGAAATGAAATGATAAATAAATTAAAATTGTCTTCATAAAGCCATAATATTAATTAAATCGAAAATATTTTCAATTCAAAAAAGGAAAGAAAAATTAATTAAGTTGAAAAATTTAAATTCAACAATAATTTGCTTTCATTCATAAAACTTAAGGAATGCATTAACCATAATCAAATTTCAAAGAAAATGAGTCAATCTTGTTTTTTCAAGGTACGATAAAAAATGACAATGAGAAGGAAAAATATGTCTTATTCTGTAATTGCAAAACGTAATTTAAAAATAACATTCATTTAAACCTGTATCATTCGATCAAAGAAACGCGTAGATTTTTATCAAATTTTAAGATGATATCTCGAGAAATTTTGTAATATTGTTTACTCACTTCGCTTTGAGAGAATGACAATTGATACAAGTTCGGGCATATTTCCTCCAGCTGATAAAAATGTGATTCCCATAACGGAATCGGGAATTCCAAGTGTATCGCCAACGACGGTTGTCATCCAAGAAACTAAATATGAAGCGACAGCAATCCAAATGACACACATTATAAATGTACCAGGATACCAATTACGAAATCGATGATATCTCGTGTCGGGAATTGTTAAAAATAAAATAAATCTCAATGGCCATGTGAATAGAAACCAAAATTGTGCTAATGTTGAATTTCTCGGCCATGTGAATATAGTCTCTGTAAAATTAATTTTTCAATTTACTATTTAAATTAAAATTAAACTGAATGAGGAAAAAGCTTTTAATCTCAGGGCTGTTAAAAATTATCTAAAAATAAGTTTTGTTTAAAATTACTCACCGGGTTCAACGTATACTTCCAATGGTTCTTTTAAACTATGCGGAATTTCTCCATTCACGGCTGCTTTGAAATTTGCAGTTTTCACTAAACTATTTCTATATTCAATCACCAATTCGCCGTGAAAGAATGGTTTGTACGTTCCATGTGGCATAACGTCATGTTTCTTTTTATCTATACCTGCAAGAAGAAACAAAAATTAATTAGAGGAATGTTTGAAAAAATTTAATAAGGCACATCATTGTTTAGAAGAATAACCGAAATATTAAAAACATTTCATTGCTAATGTTTAAAAGCAAATGATTCATTAGCAGAGAATTTTATTTGACAAATTTACTAGAATTTATTTACTTATTAAATGAAAATAGATCTTAGCCCCCATTTTACACGAAATAAATTACTTATTTATTATTAATAATATCCCCTTGATAAGCAAGTGAAAAATTAGTAAAACTTTGAAAGATTTGTCAAGAAAAGAAGGAAAGAATTTTTTTTTATTTAAGAATAAATTTAAGAATAAAAAATTCTAGAAAAAAAAAATTTTTATTCGAAACTGAAAAAAAAGATTTAGACTTCGATTGCTTTGAAAATTTGATAGAAATACTCACTTTTATCACTTGAAAGTCTTGGTTTTTTGGCAAAACTTGTGAATAGTCGTGAGATTCTTCCGCTGAAGAATAAAATACTAAAGTAACCGGCAAACAATAATAAAAGTATTGACGCCTCATACCAAGTTACTACTCCATCCCACATGATAATTACCAAACAGCTCACGGAGATTATATAAATTATACAATCTCGTGTTAATATTCCCCATTTTAAGTGAATTGCCTGTAACAAAAAAAACACAGATTAATTTCACGTCAAATATACAAAAAAAGACGAAAGAAATGAATACGAAAAATTATTCAAAACTTGAGTAGTTTTATTAAGAAAGTATTTAAATAATTATTATTTATTTTTCCACAAGAAATTAAATTTTTTCAAATTTCAAACTTTCGGAAAATTTCATTATTTTTAAAAATTACAACTCCTATTGAAAATTTAATTATTTTCAACAATTTTTAACTAAAATTCTCCTCTAAATGAATTATTCCTAAATATTTTTATTAAAATTATTAAATCCTGATTTTCATTAATATTTTCAATAATTTTCCGACAGTTCTTCGAAAATCCAATTAATTGAAAAAAAAGAATTCTTTATAATAATTGTTACCTTCATGTTTTTTATTTCTTAAAACTTATTAAGGTATGTAATTCATTGAAAACATTAACTGAGAATATTAAAATTAATTGATTTTAAAAAAATTATAATAAAAAAACTTCTTCAAAATTAATTTTTTTCAATTAGAAAAAAAATTTTAAAAAAACGGAATTTAGTAATAATAAATAATTTAAATAATAAAAAATAATTGAATTTTTGGAAGATGTAAAAAAAGACAAGTTTTTGAAGTATAAAAATTCTTCAAACAATTATTCAACAATTATTAATTGTTCTCTACAAAATTTTAATAATAAATTCTAAAAAAATGTAGACTTATTAAAATATTTTAATCTAATTATTTCCTGTAAATATTTGAATTTTCAAAAATATATGTAATTTAAAATATTGATAATAATAGAATTTGAAGAAATTCTAAGAATTATCTTTTTAAAAAATATTTTAATATAATTTTTTGAAGCTAATTTTCATTTTTGGATATAATTTTCATTTAAAAGATTTTTTATTAAAAATTCGGAGAATTCAAATATTTTAAAAATTGTTAATAAATATTCTTCAAAATTTGATTTTCCAAAATTTTAATGAAATACTTGAAAAAATCAATTATTTTCAATAAAATTTTACAAAATTTCAATTATTTTTTAAAAAAAAAGTCGTATTTTTTGAAAATTGGTTGAAAAAGTAAAAAAAATGGTACGATCCGAAGACTGTAATTTTAATTAATCTTCTTATTCATATGAAAAGTAAAATCCTCTGCTTTTCATTTAGAAAAAAAAAATCTTTTTTTTTCGTAAAATAAAAAATTGACGTCAATAATTATAACGATATATGTAATAATCACTGTAAACAATTACGGTAGATTAAAAATTAATAATCGAAGGATATCTTGTGATTAAATTTAATCATTCTGCACTTTGTACATGTTTTTCGCGCTTTTTTTAAAAAAAGCTACCAATTTCAAAATTTTCTTAAATTTTCGAAGAAGCGTGTATAAATAAATAAATTATAATAAAGTTAATTATTATAAAGAATATTAAATAGAATATAGAATTATTATAAATATAGGGACAGAAAGAAAAACAAATGATGAAATAAAGAAAGAAAAAAAGAAAGAAAGGACGAGCGAAAGAAAGAAAAGAAGAATGAATAAAAGAATGAATGAAAGAAAGAAAAAAAGAAATAAAGAGAGAAAAAATAAGGAAAGAAAAAAAGAAAAAAGAAATAATTTGAAAAATAAAAATATTTGAAAAAAAATAAAAATTTAAAGGATAAATGAAAAAGAAAAAATTATCAACTATAAATAATTCACCTCGGCAGCTGATAAAGCTCCACAAGCCGGTGTAACAAAAGTATTGAAAACGGCACTTCCAACAACTGCGCCAGTTCCAAGATCAGATTCAGTTAAAAATGTCCCAACAACATTAACAAATAATTCCGGAAAACAACTTGCTGTTGCAAGAAATGTTGCTCCAGCAACATCGGCACTGATATTCAAATCAGCACAAATACAATCAAGAGCAGGCAGTAAATAATCATTGCAAATAAATGCTGTCAGTAGGAAACAATAGAATCCAAAAAATGCGTGCAAGATAACAGCTCCTTGTTGTCTTTCATATCGACTAAATAGATCATCAGGAAAATCATGAATCGATCGAACTGCACAAGACTCCTTATTATTTGTTTCATTGTCATTCGTCGGTGTTATTATTTTCAATGTTCCAATAGTCTCATTGAATAATGGCGAATTTCTCGTCTCATTAAAAAGTCCTTTCAGCGAAGAATCTAAGGAAAATTCAAATTGATTAATAAAAAATTTCCGTCTCATTTTCAAAAAGTCCCTGCAGCGAAAAATCTAAGAATAATTCTAATTAATTATAAAGGAATTCTTTTAAAATTGTAATAAAAATAATTAAAATCCTAAGAAGAATTTTATTATTTACGAAAATAATTAAATTCCTGGGAAGAATGTTATTATTTATGAAAATAATTAAATTCCTGGGAAGAATTTTATTAAAATTTTTGTAAGTAATTGAATTCTTTCAAGCAATTTAATTACGATTCTATTGAAAATAATCGAATTCTTGTAAACAAATTTTTGTTAAAATTTTTAAAAATAATTGAATTCTTTCGATGAAAATAAACTTATGATCCACAAATTTTTAACGTTCAAATGAATGAAATAATTCTTTATAAAAATATTCCCAGAAATTACTGTTTGCAGTAAAAATTAAAACCTGAAATTTTACGTTTAGAAACTTTATAATTAATTTTTTTTATAGTGAAGCAAAATTATTGTAATAATTATATTTAATTGAAGACATTATTGTCGAAAGAGTTGAAAAAATAATTTTTAAAAAATTTAAAACTAAAACTGAAATTTTAAAAAGAAAGAATTTAAAAAGAATTTAAAAAGTAAAAACAGAAATTTTGTATTTAGAAATTTGACAATTAATTTTTGTTTATATTGACAAAAGATTATTTGTATAAAAATTTAATTTGTGGAAGAAATAAATAAATTTCGAAAACAATAAAATTTCGTATATAAATTATTTTTTAAATTATTGATCAAGAAAATATATAAAAAATTTTAACAGAAAAAATATTTTTTTTTCGAAATTGTTGACAACATAAACGTTGTGAACTTGACAAAAACTTCCTTTTAAGTTTAATTCTTTTCCTTAAAATTTATTTCTAACAAAATTGAGAAAATACTTTTCCTTTTTCTTTGTCTGTGAAATAAATAGTTATTCCCGGTAAGAATTCTTTATCAAAATTACTTTGTAAATAAAGAGCGACTATACACATGGGAATTAAATGTAATTATTGAAATAATTTTCCGAACTTACCTTCATTGTGAGAAGAATTATTAATGCTCTTGACACTTGCGATTGAAATCAGCAAATAAATAATCGAATATCGACACAAGTAGAATTTTATTTCCATGACTTCACCGATAATTCATATGCACCTGAAACAAGTAATTTATTTTAATTTTCTCAAACTTTTCATAATCATGAATCACACACAGAGGAATTGATAAATCAACTTTCACTTTTTAAATATATATTTACACCTATTTATGCGTATATAATGAATTCACTGTGTCATTCACATTTTCATAAAAATATCAATAACAAAACATTAATGAAAAATAACAAAATAGAAAAAAATTATAATTTATTAATGTTTATTATTCATAGCTCCAAATAATCGGAAATAAAATGAGAGACAAATCATTTTCAAATTTATGTTAATTCGTTATTTGCCGAGTGTGATGTTTTAATATTTCAGAAAAATTTTCTACATTCTTCAAAATTATTTTCTGAAAATAATAATTATTTGAATATTTCATTTATTTAATAATTTGTTTCTTTTTTCATTGCTACTTTGCATCATTTGAAAAATATTTTCCCGCGATGAAAAGAAAAAATAATTTTCTGGAACTTTATTTACAAAAATGTATTTAAGATTTCTGAATGTAAAATTACTTCGTCTCATTATTACGTGTGATGAATTAATTTTACACTAAAATGTTATATAAGAATAGTAATAAATCATAAAAACTAATTCACTTTTCTGTTATCACTTGAAGACAAAATTTTTCATCAATTGAAACAGTATTAAAATTAATTTAATCGAAAGACTATTTTTCCAGTTAATTTAACTCTAGTTATTTCTTTTTTAACTCTTAATGAATATTGGACAAAAAGAATTTTTTCGAACTTATTCGTATAGTGCCTCGAAATCAACTGTCTTCCTTTGCTTGTTTGGAGACAAAATTTATTCGAAAGTATATGAGTGAAGTCATGCTTTTTCCACAGTTCAATTAACTATTTTAGTAACGCGATTTATTGGAAATTCCAAAGTTATTATTTATTGAAAATCTCCAAGATGTTCAAAAAATTAACAATAATTACAATAGTTTACATAATTTTTCAATTAACAAAGAATTGTCCATTTTTCAGTAGAAAATATTTTTTTTTTTAAGGAAAACGGAAAAATTTTTTTAATTTTCTATTTTAGAATAACAGGAAATTGCTTTTTTTCTTTTTTAACTTCTATTATCACTTTTAATGACTTCGTTTCCACCATTTACTACCATTAGAAATAGATAAGTGTCATTTCAATAAAACTAATAATTTAAAATAAAAAATGACTCTAAGACATAAAAAAAACGTGAGTAAAAAATTAACAATTAAAAGAAATTTCATTAACAAAAATTAATTATTCCTTAACAATGCTAATGTATCTTATCAGAATTTTTCTTTCTAACAAGAAATCACTCAACTGGGAATTTAGGTCATGATCAATGTAATAAAAGGTGAACTGATAATTTTTACTCTCTGTGTCAATAACTTAATTAATCTCTATTCACTCATTGAAGATTGTTTATAAATTCCGAAATATTATTAAAGAGCACACGAATTGTTTTTAAAAAATTATTCTTCATACTGAAAAAAAAACTCTTGACATTTGAAAGAAAAAATTATTCCGGTTTTTAAAAGTAAACAATAATTACGACAGTAATTATGATAATAATAAAATTTGAATAGATAACAAATGTTATTGTTCTACATTTTTTTCATAAAAAAAAGAAAAAATAAATCATAATAAAAAAAAAAGTTTTAAGGAACTATTTCATTAACTTGGAACGAATTGAAAATATATTTTCAGTGCACTGACAATTAAAAAAAAATAATAGAAAAAGAAAAAAGTTACCTAAATGAAAATTTATTTACCAACATAATTTGCATACTGCAATAAATTAGATTCGATTTTTTAAAATAAAACAATAGATTAACGGATAAATTTTAATACCATTGAGAGAGAGAGTTGGCTTTTCTTTTTTTTTCCTAAAAATAGTAAAACAAAACTAGAAACTTAAATTTTTTTTTAAATCTACTTGAACTTATAATATTGCGTGACATTTATAAGGCACAACGATAAAAAAAGGCAGCCAATCCACGAGATTTATAACTAAGGAAGATACGCGATGAACTGCCCTCCCCGTCAAATTAATCCTAGCTGATTCAGATAAATATTACTGATTACTCCCTTCCACTAAAATTGTATATATAATTCAAGACATATGTTTTATCAGTTATCGCACTTGCTATAGGGAATAAATTCAGGGAACGATATTTTGTATTGTTCAACAAATGATGATGATGATAATAATCACATAAGATTATTGAGATTTGTTTTTAAATGCAATTAATTCATATTTTAATACCTACAATTGACTTCCAATTTTCTAATTTTAACTGTATATATCGATTTCCTTTTTTATTAACAAGTAATTAACTTCATTGTAATGTACTACTGTTATTGTTTACAGATCTTTATCAATTTTAGTTTTTACTTCCTCAATCAATTATTTTATTATTTATTTATTTTACTTACTTTATTATTATTCATAATTTATCGTATTTTTAATAATTTTATTATAGTAATGGAATTTTTATCTATTTTATACATTTTCTCCCTTAAAAAACATTTTTCGGTTTTCAGGCTTCGCACTTGGTAATTAATTTTAAAAAAGTACCTTTATAAATGAAAAAAAGTTGTAAAATAGTAGATATCGAAAAATTAAATTTGATGACTAAAAAAATGGTTTCAATCGTTTCCAGTTGATTGACAAAAATCACCTGTACTTCCCTGACATTTTCCTGATTTCTAACATAAATATCCACTTTTTTTTCCTGGTAATAATTTCAATTCTAAATTTTTGTAATATTCAATTACTTTTCCAAATTTTTAGTTAGAATTCTACAATAAATATTTAAATATTATTACAATTTTACAACAATTGAAATATTGAAAGATTTCAATTTAAAAAACTTTTGAAATTAATTTTAAAAATTCATAATTATTAGGAATTTATTTCAAATTTTAATTAACATTCATTTTGAAATCAATTCGTATTTGAACGTTCTAAGAGAATTCAATTATTTAAATACAGAAATAAATAATTGACAAAATAATTGATAATTCTTTGAAATTGAATTCTTATAAAATAATTGAAATTCTTTTGAAAATAATTGAATTCTTCTAGAGAATTTTAAAACAATTTTTTAAGAATAATTGAATTTTTCAAGAAATTAATTTAAAATTTTATTAAAAATAATTGAAATCCTGCAAAGAATTTTATTATTCTTGAAAATAATTGAATTCTTTCAATGAATTTTTTTGAATGATTGAAATCCTGTAAAAATTTTTTTATTTGTGAAAATAATTGAATTTCTGGGAAGAATTTTATTATAATTTTTGAAAATAATTGGATTATTTATTAAAATTTTTTATAATAATTCAATTCTTTCGATGAATTTAAATGCAATTGTATTGAAAATCATTGAATTCTTATAAACAAATTTTATCAAAATTATTAAAATAATATTGATTTTTCGGAGAATTTCATACAATTTTTTTAAAATAATTTAATTATTTCGAGATCTCTTATTAAAAATATTGAAAATAATCATATTTTTTTTAAATTATTTAAAGGAAAATGAATTTTGTTCATTTGTACGTTCAAAAGCTGCAGGGACATTTTTTTCAAATTTTAAAAACGAAAACTGAAATTTTTCTACTTCTATAAAAATTCTAAATAAAAATAAAATGAATTTCGTATAAGTGTTGAAATATTTTGAATAAATTTCCTTTTCAATACACATGTTCAAAAAATGATTGAGCGATAAAATTTATAATAAGGATATTAATGAAAAGAATTATTCCCAAATTAACACGTTTTCTTTGACGCACATTCGAAAGTGATATGATCAAAAAAAGGCGGTGATTTTTCTTAATCTCACATTCAATCGCACTGGCAGTGAATATATTTAAAAGACAATACATGACAGTGCCAATTCAAAAATTTTCAATTATAGAAAAATAAAAATGATTTTCAATTTATATCGAATTAAATCAAATCAGTTTAATTGAATAGATTATTAATGTAAATCATTAAGTTAAATTAATCATTATTAGTGCTATCATTGCAATTAAGTTACAAAACTCTGCTTAAAATATAAAAGTCAACATTCATTTACTATTTACATTTTCATAAGGTTTCATTTCGAACAATTTTGTCAATTTTCGTCAAATCAATAAAAAGATTAAATTTCTTTTTTTCTCAATTTTATTTAAATTTCGTAATTTAAAATACGAAATATAACAAGACTTATAAATTAGTTTTCAACTGTATAAGAGAATTTCAAAAAGAATGAAAATCAATAAAAATTTATATATATTTAAAATATAAACGGAAATTTATATTTTATTTTAAACCACTTCAACACACCCATTGAAGACATTATCAAACATTACAACTTTTTACTATAACTAATGAAATACATAACGTATTTTCAAAATTTCAGGCATATTCACACAATTAAGAAATATAATAATTTCTAATATCATAAATCTCTGTGACTTAAAGTCGTTTATAATTTATAAACAATGAACTACATCCATCGTTTAATAAATTATTGAAAATTTAACTAAATTATTTGGAGACAAGCACCAAATTTACGAATATAATTACATATATAATTTTTATCAATTATACGAATTATATAAATTTTTGAAATTATTCATAATCAATTATCAGCGTAAAAATTTTATGTAAACAATTATCTAGATAAAATGTATCAAAAGAAAATTAACTAAAATAATCAATTTATATTGGAAGATAAATCTTATACAATATAAAAATTTTTCCTATAAAAACAAAAAAAAAAATAATTGCACGTCTAATAGTTGAATTTAATTTTTCATTTTCTTGAAAATTTTTTCTCATCACGAAAATATATATATTTATTTCGAATTATTGCAAGAGTGAAAAATTAAATTCACTAACTTACTTGTATATTACTTGACAGTTTCTTTTTTCGCAGTCTTCTTGCCATACATGGCATCTAAAAATAATCCAAGGAATACAAAAACAGTCGCTACCCATTGTCTCAGTAGAAGGGAATTACCGAATAATAAAACTGATCCTAAGACAGTGAAAAATTTTCTCGTCGTCGTTATAATGGAGCATGGAAGTGGACCGAATTCGGCTACTGTTAAAAATATAAAATATTGTCCACATGCGCCAGTTGCACCAAGATTTATAATATGCACAATTATATTTGGATGCTTTTGTAAAAATAGAATAAATCTCATTAATTCGCCAGAGAGTATAATTGTGAAGCCACTGAATATAATGGACCAAAAATTCATATTGAGCATCATGTGTAAAGATTGTGTTTTGTGTTCAGCTCTCATTCTCTCTTGGACTGCACTCAATAGACCGTCCATTGTCAATGAGAGTAATAATAAAATTTCTCCAAATCCCATTTGACTAGAAGATTGTGCTGATGTCTTTCCATCTTTAAACATGAAAATCGCAACTCCTGATACTATTAATAATACGAAGAAGTATTTTCTCAATGGATATGACTGAAAAGATAAAAATTTTGTTTTAAAATTTAAAATCCATCAATCAATTTAGAAAGAAATATTAAAATATTTAATGACGCATGACGCATGACTATTTCCCATCTGGAACTTGCAACAATTTTTGTGGCAACGAAATAAAAAACTTAGAAATTCTACTTATCAGAACTGCAATAATTCGAGTTCTTTTTTAAACAAATTTTCATCACAAGAAATTAGTATTTGAAGAAATATTTATGAAAGACATTTTTTATTTGACTGTATTTCAATTTATAGAAATCTCCAAGTAGAAAAATATAAAGGTATAGAACGTTTAGTTTAGATTTTTTTTACAGTCCTAAAATATATTTTAGGAAAATTAAAATTTTGCTTTAAGAAAATTTAAAGTATAGAAAAGTTTATATAAAGGAAATGTTGTAATTTAAAAAAAATTGTTAGTTATCTACAATTTAATATCGCAGCATTTCTATATTACAGGCTTCGCACTTGATAATTAATATTAAAATAGTAGCTCTAAGACTGAAAAAAGTAGCTAACGAAAAATTTTACGACTAAAAAAACTCGTCTTAGACGATTCACAAATATCACAAAAATTTGATTCTTTTTCCTAATTTTCATAAAAAATATTTAAGTACTTTATTTTCTTATCCTACTAATAACTTGAATTATAAATTTTTGCAAAATTAAATTACTTTCGAAACTCTAATATAAAATTCCTCAAAAATACAATTATATTTCAAAATAATTTTTAAGTACCTATGTACCTAAATAAATAATATTCTTTGAATCATAAAATATATTTCAATTAAATTTGACAACATTTCCAAATGATTAGAAAATAATCATTTTAAATTATTTTACCTATTTTGAAAAAATAATTACAATTTTTCAAAAGACTAATTTTTTTCATAATTTCCAAATTAAATAACATACAAAACCTGAATAATAATTTTTTTTAAATAACTATTTCAAAACTTATTTATTTTTTCACAGGAATTAAAATATTTTTAATGAAATGTAACTATTTCTAAAAATTACAATTGTAATCCTTTCTAAATTCAATAATTTCTTTGTTGACATTTTTAAATAAAATTCTCCAGAACTAATCATTTTTTGAATAAATAATAAATTTACAAAATAAAAATTTAAATATTATTTGTTTTACAACAATTAAAATTTACAAATATTTCAAATTAAAAAATTTTTAAATTTAATTATTTCTAAAAATTCATAATTCTGAGAAAGAATTTTATTAAAAATTGTATGAAAATTGTGAATAATTGAATTATTTAAGAGGAATTGTTTTAAAATTGTATTAAAAATAATTGAAATCCTGCGATAATTTTTATTATTTATGAAAATAATTGAATTTTTGGACCGAATTTTATTAAAATTTGTTTAAATAATTGAATTTCTGTGAAAATGTTATTATTTTTTAAAGTAATTTAATTCTAGCAAAGAATTTAATTAGTTATGAAAATAATTAAATTTATGCAAAGAATTTTCTTAAAACTTGAAAATAATTGAATTTTTTAAATTGCATAGAAATTGTAAATAATTCCTTTAAAATTGTATTAAAAATAATTGAAATCCTGCGATCAGTTTTATTATTTATGAAAATAATTGAATTTTTGAACTGAATTTTCTTGAAATTTTTGAAAATAGTTGAATTCTTGATAAGTATTTTATTAAATTTTTTGAAAATAATTGAATTCTAAAGAAGAATTTTATTAAAATTTGTTTAAATAATTGAATTTCCGTAAAAATTGTATTAGTTATGAAAATAATTGAATTTTTGCAAAGAATTTTCTTAAAACATGAAAATAATTGAATTTTATAAATTGTATGAAAATTCTAAATAATTGAATTCTTTCAAAGAATTTTATTAATATTTTGGAAAAAATTGAATTATTTAGTGATTCAGTGATAGTATTTAAAATGCTATTAAAAATAATTGAATGTTTCTAATGAATTTTATCAAAATTTTGTTTAGGTAAAGAATTGAATTCTTTTGAGAAATTTTATTATGATGGTAATTACATTGAAAATAATTGAATTTCGGAAAATTTTTTGAAAATAATTTAATCGTTTCAAAGAATAATAGAATTTATTGCCACAAATCTGAAAAAAGTATCCAAATAGTACGAATCGTTAAAGAAAAGTAGTAAATAGTATGTTTTAGTAGATGAGTGACAGCGAAGCCTGAATTTTTAAAGTTACTTTTACAATGTCGAATCTTCATTTATCCCATAACTTTTTTTGTCACTAATCACATAAAAAAAGTCTTTTATAAATATTTCTTTAAATACTAATTTCTTGTGATAAAAATTCGTTTAAAAAACCCGAATTGTTGCAGTTCTAATAAGTAAAATTTGCAAGTTTTTTATTTCGATGCCACAAAAATTGTTGCAAGTTCCAAATGGGAAATTCTCATTTTACTTACCTTTTTGCCGAGAAGTACACCTAGTAACATGACAGGAATGGGTTTTCCAGCTTTGGCAATAACTTGCGTTGGATAATTAACAAATTGCAAAGACATATTGCTGCAGACCATTGCAAGTAAATAAGTGAGAGCGGAAGATGCATAGTAAACAGTTCTCGTCGAATCTTCACCTTGTTTAACAAACGTTAAAATAGCTTTTGCAAACAAATAATTCAAGACACATTGGAAGCATACGAGGGCAAAGACGTGGGTGAATTTTTCGGCTTTTTCACCTTCTCCATATAATCCACACGTTATCTTTTCTTGTAATACACCATAGTAAAAATAACAGGCAAAAGTGCCTATTGCATATATTATTAACTTTGTGCTACTCTTTTGAAACATTGTTGCAGTTAATTAAAGCAATTACTAAGTCACCATACGTTCAGGAATGTTGACTATAATACTGTCAAGAAATTTTTGTATTAAAAAGCCGCATAAGCGTTTTTCAGGTTTAATATTTAACACGTTGACATCTCTGAGTGGTTATAAAATACATTGAATATATAACTATCAAAGATGTACTACTCTTTCTTCTTTCCTTCCAGCTGTCGCTATTGTACAACTTCCGGTCCACGAGACAGGAAATGAGACTTTAAAGTATTTGTGAATGCGGCTTAATAATTTGTTTGGTTTATGCGCATGACAAATTTAAACGAGAAAAACTGACGAAAACGAAAGACGCGAGATTGGCAAACTGCAAACAAGTTGAAAGAGCGGGATATCAGAAAGATTCTTTTAATTTTCAACGTTAGAATAAACAATTCATTAAGCTCTCAGTGGGTTTGTGAATTTTGACTGTTTCAATTATTAAGTTCATAGAAGAAACTTTTTATTTAAAACCACAACAATGTCTGACGAGAAGAATAAGGTAAGGACCACCCTAACCTCAAAAAATGCTTTTTAGCCGCATTCATCATATATTTTTCTTTCTTAAATTTTCTAGGACTCAAAAACAGAATCCGAGCATATAAATCTTAAGGTTTTGGGTCAAGATAGTGCAGTCGTGCAATTTAAAATTAAGAAACACACACCTCTGCGAAAACTTATGAATGCGTACTGTGATCGAGTGGTAAGTATTTTTTTATTCAAAAAATCTATCGGATAAATCTTGAAAAATATAAACAATGTCAATCAAAAGTATTACTTTCTCTTATTACAACACAAACGAAGATTATTATTCACCATTTCTGAACTAACATAATTATTTTTCTGCGTGCAAAATAAACAATCTTTGTAAACAGTTATTTGTTTTGGTCTCAACGATAGATAATTTTGGGATTAAAATTGAAATTAGAAATTAAAAGTAAAAAAAAACAATTACAGGGTTTGGCGATTGCTGCCGTGCGATTTCGATTTGACGGACAACCAATAAATGAAATTGATACGCCGAGTTCTTTAGAAATGGAAGAAGGAGACACTATAGAGGTTTATCAACAACAAACCGGTGGATCGTGCTGAAAATAACATTTCCTAACTTGTGGTTTATAACAAAAAAAAATGGACTGAGAGAATATTCTCCGTTTGTTCCTTAAATAAAAAAAAGGCAATTATTTTTTAATTTAACCTAAGTAAATAGAGATCGGACTTTTTCTAATTTCACCAAAAAAAAGGATATAAGAAAAAAAAAACATGAAAAGAAAACCGAGTATATTCCGATTTAATTATAAACCAAGTGTGTTAGCTTTTAATTATTTTATTTCGAAACAAATTCACTTTTTGTTAAGTTCTAATATTAAGAAGATTTATAGAAGTAAAATCTACGTAAGTCAGAATAAAAGATCAATTATGATGATTGTTATAAACAAAAAAAGAAACATGTAAATGAAAAATTTATTAAGAACTTAAGTGTTTCTTTTTTTTTTTTAATATAAATACTGCTTTTTTTTGCAAAAAAAAAATTATTCTTCTATGCAAAAAAATGTTCAAGCAGAGAAAAATATTTGTTACAAAGTCAAGTTTTTCATTGAGATTGTGAATCAAAAAAAAGAAACACTTAATATTTCCATCAAATTTTGCTTGAGAACAATTTTTTATTGTCTTTCAATTAAATAAATTTAATTGAAAGTATTTATATCACCAAAAAGTACTTCAAACTATCATGTCATAATTGTATCTAATAAATTTGCATTTTTTAAATTATTCTAATTTGTTTATTTATAGTGTCATCAACCCTGTTTTTGAAAACAGGTTAGAAAATTAATAAATCATTTTCTAGGAGCTTTTTTACAAAATAATTTTGTGTGAAAAGTTAGAGTTGAAAAATGAAATAGTCATTATTTTCATTAATATAGTGTTTATATGTATTTCTCGATATTTTACATGTACAGCATTAAAATTTTCTTGAATATATTTCTAACATAAATCAAAAAATAGAGAATTAACTGTGTCTATAAAGCGATGCCATATTTTTCAAAATAAAAGGCCAATTTTAGTGGTATTTTTAACCAGCCAAACCAGCTTTTTGTCGACAAAGCGACATTAGTGCTCTGAGCATAAATTGTCTTCTTGAAAGTTGACGAACTTGCTTTAAAAATGCGTCTAAATCTATTATATTGCTACGAAGACCTTCTGCTAAATAATAAATTGCGTCCTCAGTTGCTGCCTCTTCAGCAAAAGCATTCAACATTCTAGAAAGGAAAAAATAAATTTTTCATTAATTTAAAAAATCAAATGTTAATTAACGAAATTTGAGAGAGGAAATATTTTTTAATTGTAAAATTATTCGAAAACACCAATAGTTTTATTTTAAATAAATGTTTAATTATTATTATTTTTCCATAGGAATCAATATTTTCAAAAATTTCAAATTCAACAACTTAAAAGAATATTTTTATAAAATATGAAGATAGCGATTGCTCTTCTTCATGTTTTATAATAATTAAAGATGACCGAGTGATAAAATCATTCATTTATATTATAATAATATTGTTACTGTAACTTCGAAATTCTTTTCATCATTTCAATTCAATTATTATTTTCTAGAATTTTTTAATTTTTAACAATTTTTGACAAAGTTCTTACAAAATTTTCAAATATGTTATTTATGAAAATAATTGAATTGTTGCAAAGAAATTTATTAAAATGTTTTAAATAATTGAATTCCAGTTAAAAATGTTATGATTTGGCAAAACAATTGAATCGCTGAGAAGAATATTTTAATAATTATTATGAAAATAATTGAATTGCATTCAAAAATATTGAAAATCATTGCATTGCGAAAATTTGATGAAAATAATTGAAATTTTTATAAGAATTTTATTAAAATTTTTGAAAATAATTCAATTTTAGAGAAGAATTTTAATATTTATAAAAATAATTGATATTTTGACGAGAATTTTCAAAAAATTTTGAATATAATTGAATTTCTAAGTAGAATATTATTACTTTGGAACTATTATGATAGTTCTTTAAGAATTAAGTTATTTATGAAGAAATGAATGTCAGAAATAGAAGAAATTGAAGGTTTTATATTGGATTTCGTGGTAAATTCATAGTTTTTGAGGCAAATTAAATGAAAGACTTACTGTTTGTATAGAGGTGCAATAGGAGTGACAGCCTCATCAACATCAATTGCCTGATTGTCTGAAAGTTTCGATATTTCATTTTCCAATTCGGATTCCTTATCCTGGAGGATATTAATATTTTTCTCCAATTCGGCTTTATCTTTATTCAGTTTGCCGAATAAATCACTTAAGCGCGCTGAACCATTTGTCAATTCTTGTTGCGTTCTACGCAATGTTTCAAGCTCGGCTTGTAATTGAGAGAATTGATCACGAAGACGACGTCGCATTTTATCCTCGACTGCTGAAAGCAATGAGACACGAATATGTTCCTCTGTTATTGTTCCCGAACCACCTGATCCACCAGCTACTGTCGGTGACTAAAACATATTAATAAAAAGAAAATCAAATTTCACTTTTATACAAAAAGAAAAGACGAAATATTCGAAGAAAATAATAATAGAATTATAATATTAGAAGAAGAAAAATAATTTAGTGAATTGCGAAAAAACTGACTGGTTGAGTTGACGGTGGATAAGGAGGATACATTCCCCCTGCTCCTTGACTTGGAGGATAACCAGGAGTCATTCCCGGTTGATAATTCGGATAAGGATAACTTCCAGGCATTACGGGATATGGAGGAAACACTGAACTTCCCATTTGCGAAGATGGCGGGTACGGAGGATAGGCTCCTCCACTCACTCCGGATCCACTTCCAGGTAAAGGCATGAAAGCTAAAATTAAATTATTAAAAAAAATAATTAAAATTGTAGAAAGTTTTAGAGAAAGAGAAAATTAATTATCTTACGTTGTTTTGGATACGGAGTCGTGGTCGGTTGAGGAGACTTCGAGTAAACTGGCGGATGATCACCGAAAGTGATAATCATCACTTGAATTAAACCCAATAAGTCCGAGGAATGCTGATTAAAACACAATCACAATGAATCATTTTTGCATAAATTGTATAAAAAAAAAGTAAAACATTTTATTTAGTAAATTTTATATTTTCTTACAGGAACCCAATCGTGTAAATAAGGCAAATAAATTTTTCCATTGTGATCCACATACATGCCAACTTTAATATTCATATCCGGAGTTGGATTAACATAACACATTGGCGCATTATTTGGATGTGTATCCATCACCCAAATACTTATTGGAATATGATACACATTACCTGATGGAAAATAAATCAATAAGAATATATAAAAATTTATCCCGACGTAATAAATATAGAAAATAATCAATAGAAAACTAATAGAAAAAAAGTACAAACCTTTGTACGTCACAGGTATCGTTCCTTGTAAATTAATAAGTTCCTTACGAGATCCATCATTAAATACTTGAAACAAACAAAGTTCTTTGTTCAATAAAAAATTAAATTATTAAATTTTTTAATTAAAAGTAAATTAAAAACAAAGTTCCCTCTCGGGAAAATTTGTATTTGTTTACCATAATGCTCCATTTTGTGCTGCAATCCTTTGTAAATTTGCAAAACACTGATAACATCTCTGCGTGTTACATCTGAATTGCGATACTGAAATGGAATATTTATTTCCTTAAGCATTCTTAATATTTATTTTGTCGAACGGATCTCCTTTTAATTGATAAATGTTTTTGGAGCTATTTATTAACTAGAATATAAACTAGAAAGAAATAGAACTCATCAATATTGAGTTGAAAATTCTATAATAAAAAGTGAGAAAAGAAAAAGTAAATGATTTGATTAGTTTCCATAAAGAAATACTTACTTTCGATAAACATTGCTTGATATTTGCTTCAGTAATATGATTCATCTTCCCCATCTAACCTTTAAATTATAAATCGCGCACTTAATATCAACGTTATTTACGTTCGCATGCACTTTTTTCCTTCTAGATTAATATTCCCACTATTGTAAAGGGGAGCAACACTCCTTTGTGCTTTTCAATATCCAGAGAATTGTTTCTTAGAAACATTTAACATTAATTTGAGGACAAAATAAATTTCGTAAGTTTGTAAAAACTTTCATTAAACTTACAAAACTTTTACCAATTTACACTTTGACACTTTGACAGCTCAACCCAACAACATTAAAAATAACAAAAAAGATGCACAATTCTTAAGGTCCTTAAGGTCCATTCATACCTTTCAATTATCTTTGTTCTTATAAGCTCCATAAGCTAAAAAGAGATAATAGACAATCTCCCTCTCTTATTAACATATGGAAATTGTAAACATGTCCTTTTTTAGCTGAGAGAAAATTCCCTCCTAATGCAGCGCTCTGAACTAGTGGTGAATTTTAAAAGTAATGTTTCCCTCAACATTAGTTGTCATTGTTGATTCAATAGAAACTGAACCAGTTGTGCTTAGGCCTTTAGTTGAAAACGTTGAAAATTGTTCCAGGTCTTTTTATGTTTTTAATCTGATTCTTATTTTGTTTTACAAAAATAAACAAACTGACAATTTTTGTAAAGTTCTTTATTCATCTTTATGTTAAAGATGGATGAAATTTTAACCTCACTTAAAATTTTAATTATTGGAGAAACAGACACTGGAAAATCCAGGTAGAATTTTTCTTTTTAAAATGACTCGACATTTTCCCTTTTAATATTGTTCTCGAAATTCCTTTTAATGTGTAAGTTTAAATTAGCAGAACAAAAATTGATGATAAAATTCATTTATATATTAAGTACCTAAATACAAACACAAATATAAATAACAAAAAAAATTGATCCATTATGTTTAAAATTTTCTTTACTACGCCTTATATTACAATACGTATCATTATGTCACTTCATTAACTATAACATAACAATAAACAATGTTGTACGAAACTCGTGATAAAATAAATTTTTAAAAAACTAATTTCATACTGAAAATTTTTGCAGCATTTTAATCAGATTCGTCGATGATGAATTTAACGATCAAATGCCAAATACAATCGGAGTAGATTATAAATCGAAAGAGATTGACGTAGATGGAAATTTAGTGAAACTTGCTCTATGGGTAAGAGATTTTTTTTGTAAAATAAAATTGACACATATTCAAATTTTTTAATTTAAAACTTAAGATTTTATGAAAATATGTTTTTCCTTATTTTACTTTCTAAAATAGGATACAGCTGGACAGGAACGTTTCAGAACATTGAGTCCAAGTTATTATCGAGATGCTCAAGGAGCAATTTTAGTCTATGATGTCACGGACAGGAAGACTTTCAATAAATTAGAAAATTGGTTGAAAGAATTAGAAACTTATTGTCGAACAAATAATATTGTTAAAATGGTTGTTGGCAATAAAATAGATTTGCCTAATAGGCAAGTTTCGAAGGAAGAGGGAATACAATTTGCTAGACGGCACAAAACACTTTACATTGAAAGCAGTGCAAAAACTGCCGATGGAATTAAGTGTTGCTTCGAAGAACTCGTCAGAAAGGTTAAATTTATTTTTAACATCTTTTTAACGTTCAATTTAATTTATTTTCTCATATATTCTATTTATATTTTATATATTATTTATTTAATCAGGATGTCATGATTCCCTGACAAAAAACTTTTTTCATGACATTTCCCTGACTTTACTGACATGCGGCCACCCTGTTAAAATTTAAATGATGAAACAAAAATTTATCAATTTTATTTATTTAATATTAAAATGATAAAATAAAAATTCATAAATTAACGACGAATGATCAACGAATTTATGTTTCAGATTATTCAAACTCCTGGTCTATGGGAAGCTTACGGAAAAGGTTTATACGGCGGTGAAAATGGAGTAGCGAGAAATCGACTGGGAAAAAAGGGAATTCAATTAGTCGACGCTCCAGAGCCTATAGATCCAAATAGCAGTTGCTATTGTTAATTCTTCAAGCGCACGGCGATTTTTGTATTAAATTTAATTTCAAGACATTCAATTATGTTTTTAAATTCAAAAACGAAATTTTATAAATGTTTTTCTTTGCACTTGTTTCACAAAGACAAGGATGAAATTTCTCTAGTTTTACTCTGTATATAATAATAAATTAGTGCTATCAGTTTCTATTTAAATAAGCCATTAAAAACACTTATGTTTCCTAGTTTTTTACCACTAGTAACATATATTCTATAATATTGAATATAATGTATTCAACTCTGTTAAAATTTAAATACAATTTTTATATATAAAAAAATTGTTTATTTTGTGCTTTTCTACCTTTTCGTAATGATAAAAAAATTTCTTTGTTTAAACGTACCTGAAATTTCTTAAGGGTTTCAAGTTTCAAGATTTTCAATTTATTTAAATTATTTTATTTTTAACTTTACTCCATACAATCATTTTGCTGCGACTGCTTTTGGTTTTGGTACGCCTTCCCTGAATCCATTTCTGAAACAAATAATCATTATGAATATTTTCTTTCATTACAAATATTGTGAATTGTTTTTATTAAAAAATGCATCTGAAGTTTTTTTTAAAACAAGGCTCTAAATAACTTGAAAATAAAATTTTTGTTGTGACTTTGAAAATTTAGTTTTAGTTTGTTAAATAAATTTCAAGTGCAGATCTCGTTAAAATGTCATTTTTAAACAAATACATGAAAATTAGACTATAATGAAATATAATAAAAAATAAAAACAATACTCACTTGAATTTGCGTCGTACAATCTTCAAGGCACGCATGCGACCAGTTCCGGTAGTCTTCCTCCTCTTTGCCTTAATAGACCAGTTGTCTGTAAAAAAACAAATTTATTACTCTCAAATGTAAGATTTTTTTAGTAATTTGTTTAAAAATAATTTATTAAATAATTGTGAAAGAAATTAAAAAATATATCAATTTTTTTACTATTTGATTATAAAACAGAATTATTTAATAATTATTAACTTTGGTGAAGTTCACGTTTATAATCAATTTAGAAGAAAATATTTTTTTTTAATTTTATCAATAATTTAAAAAATAAAAAATTGCAACGAAAAAATTGCTTTCCTGGCCTAAAAGTATTTTTTTCATTCACTTGTTGATCATAAATTTGAACTTCACTGAAGTGTTGAATATTAATATTTTACTTACACGAGCGCAACTTTTTCGAAGGGTATCCACATTGAGCACATTGCGATTTCTGGATGTGGTATGAGCTACGACCGCATCTTCTGCACAACGTATGGGTCTTATTTCTACGTTTACCAAAACTTGACGTACCTTTCGTCTGTAAAAAACCATCTTATTAGCATAAAATACAATTTTTTCAATTTAAACTGAAAAATATCCTTCAGAAATCAAACACACCATTTTGTCAAATTTGAACTAAAACTGTCAAAAATAAAAAATCATTCACCTAACTAAAATGCCCACTTGATAAATACTAACTAACTAATTACTAACGAATAAACTAAATAACTTTCGAATGAAAAAAAAAATTGAAGGAAATAATTTAAGTATACACGGACGAAAACAAGCTCGAATATGCAACACTACATCCACAAGTTAAGTGTATTTTTTCGAAATAAAAATACAAGAAAAAAATATTCGAAAAAATTTCTCTAATTTATAAATGTTAAATAAATTATGAACTAGAAGGTAAATAAATACGATTATTTATGAAATAAATGAAATGAACACAACAAGAAGTAAGTTTACTGATAATCCTAACCTATAAATATTATCAACACCAGGTTGTCATTAACCGGTATTAATAAAACCCTGAACAAATAAATATTCTTATAAAACGACTTTATAATTTTTAGCCAATACTTTAATAATTCTTCTACATTATCTTATATCAAGATTTCGGACTAATAAGAAGATTTAGAAAATATAAATTCACTCACCATTTTTACGAAGATACAGTCACCGAGAGAAAGAAACACATCCCAATGCAACCAGTGTTGCCAAACTTGAGAGAACCATGAAGTTAGCAAATCAGGCTAGCCAACTGTCCGTGTATTTTTGATATTTTAGCGCCAAAACTAAATTTAGGATAATTTTCATTATCTATAATTAGTAATTATAATATAATAAAGATTAAATTAAAGATATTTTGCTATAAATAATATTTTTCTTTATAAAATATAAAAAAATTGATTAAAAAAATTCGTTAGAATTGAGAGTTGAGACACTAACTCGAGATATATCGAAGATAAACAACAAACTTCAAAACAGATTTGACAGGTAGTCAGGTAGTGTTTTAAATTTGTTATGATTTTGTATATTTCGTATGATTTTGTTTAAGTTTAATAAGTAAATATTTTTTACTGCTTTATATAGTATTTTTTAAATTTAAATTAGTAATAATTTTAGATAAAGTTGTGTGATTCATATATTTGTAGGTTATACACAATTTTTGCAGTTGAAGCCGGACACGTGGATCTTGGTTAAATTGTTTAAATTTGTATTCTTTTCATCAACAATTGAATTATGTGACTCAAATATGAATTGTGGTGGTATTGATTCTAAAACTGTGGATAAATTGGAAAAAAACAAAGCTTTATTAGCCTTACCATTAAACATTCTCAAGGAAGCTGCCGATGAATTTTCCAAGGATAAAAAATGCAAGTATTTTACTTAATTAAATAATATTCATTTAAAAAAATTAAACACTGTTTCCACAAGTCAGGGAATTCAGGGAAAAATAAAATTAAATATTTGTGGCAACCCTGTTAAAATTTCTCGTCTTTTTAATTAATTAAAATCATTATTTTTATTCAGTTACGGACAAAATTTTAATGAAATTATACTCCATTTTTGGAAGCTGTTTTGAGAAAGCTACTGAAATTTATGAATCTGGTCATGTAACACATATTTCGACTTCTGATTTACCAATAAAAAGTGACACACGCTATCTTTTACGTGTAAAAGGATCGTCTGGGCAAATTTATACATTATTTCCGAATGTAAACTTTTGTACTTGCAAAGCGTTCAGGTAGGAAATGATAAACAATGATATAAGTAAAAGGAAAATTCATCAATCAATTTTATTTCAGATATCAAGTTTTAGAAGGACAAACAGCATTTACATGTAAACACTTTTTAGCTTCTTGGCTGGCTTTAATTGATAAGGAGAAATTAATTTACGAAAAGTTAACACCTTCACAATTTCGAGGATTATTGCTGTATCAAGTCTCGTACAAGCAGCATGATGAGTATTCGCAGTGAAGAATATAAATTGATAGCGAAATTGGGAAATCTGAAGACTGTGGTTCATCTTTTGAAAGCTATTAATTTTAAAAGTGTTCGTGTCAATCATTATTTATTATTATTATTATTATTATTATTATTATATTTTTATTGTTATAGTTATATTTTGATCATTATTATTATATTTTTCTCTGAATAGGTTGCCACTTGTTCTGCCTGTGAAAACGGTATTAAAATCACAGTTGAGGACGCAAAATGCATGCAAGCAACAGTTTATCTTCCAATTAGCGTATTTCAAGAATTCGTATTAAATGAGGATGTTATTTTTCAAATTAATCTCAATGCATTAGTCGATTGTCTTTGTATGTACTGGAGTAGCATAAATACTCAAGGAAGTGTCGTCGCCTTGCAAATGTCTTATAAGGTAATCAAATGATAAAAAATAAATTTTTTAATTAATTTCTAATAATTGAAGTTTTCTATATAATGTTTTTCTCTTTATTCGTAAAAATAGGGAAATGGCAATCCCGTTGTATTGCTGATTGAAGAAGAGGGAATTATAACAGAATGTTGTTTACAGACAACCGAACCAGATGAATTGTTGAACTTTAATCTTGAACCAGAAAATATTGTAAATAAAATTTATCTTCAAACGGCATTGTTAAAGGATGTTCTTGCTGAACTCGATCCATCTAGCGATTCAATTGAGGTAATTTTTTCAATAAAATATAAATTATTTATTGCTAGCAAATTTAATGCAAATATCGCACAAAATGCAGCTTTTATTTTATTATTATTATTATTATTATTATTATTATTATTATTATTATTATGCGAATTTCAAATAAATTAAAGTATGATTTTTAATTCAAAACAATTTCTTGATGAATTATTTTAAAAAACTTTAGTGAAACTCCTTGAAAGAATAGGATTATTTTCAAAATTTTTTGATAAAATTCTTTAGAAGAATTTAATGATTATCAACATAATTTTAATTAAATTTCTCGAAAAAATTTCTTTGAAATAATTGAATTTTATTATTTCTTTTATTAATATCTAATTTAATCTTTTCATAAATAATAAAATGCTTTCAGAGGAATTCAATTAATTTCAATATCTATATTTTTGTAAAAGTTTAGAAAATTAGAAAAAAAAATTATTAACTTAAAATTATGGAAAATAACAAACTACCGGAATACGATATTATTAATGTAGTTGATCATAAAGAAAAATGAAATATTCGTTTAATTATTTTCAGTTGGTTTTATCTCCCAATGCGCCTTATTTTAAAATAACAACAAATGGATTGGCGGGCGATTGCACCATTGAAGTTCCACATGATAGCGAATTGGTGGACAGTTTTGAATGTAAAGCGACAACTTCTTCAAATTACAAATTGCAGCACATTAAACCTGTTGTAAAAGCTTTAGCTTGCAGTCATCAAGTTTCAATAAAAACTGATGATCGTGGTCTATTGTGCTTTCAATATATGGTGAAAACAGAAGAAGGCCAAACTTGTTTCATAGAATATTTCGTAAGAATACAAAAATATATTTTTACCCAACTTAGATCTTGATAATGGTTAATTATCAATTTAACAAATTTTTAATTTTTCAGATGTCGCCAGTTGTGGAACTAAGTGATTAAATGTTAACTGATTAGAATAAAAAGACTCTCATGATAATGAAAAAAAATGTTTAATAGTTATATTTTTATACGTGTTTAATGTAATAAAAGATGTTAATTTATTTCATAAAATTGTATTTTATTTAGACTAGATAGTACTGTACATGAATTTCCTGATAGGTACTTTTATTTAGTATACTTGATGAGTTTATATACTCAGGGAGAGCATTAGAGAATAATAATTTAAGCTTTTTTTCGAAAAATCGGTATTAAACGAAATATCTTATTTTTTAGATAAATATTAATATTTCGTTAAAACTTTTTCATATGCGCATTAAATTGACTGTAATATGCGCATTAAATGAAGGTTTTCAAGAAAATTCTAATTATTCTCAGAATGATTTACAATATTTTTTTTTCAAAGCCTTTTATCATTTTTATATTTACGTAAAATATATTTATAGTTAATACACCTAAAAGGCTTGTATCGAGAATTCTCCGCCTTAAGAATCAAAAGTTTTTATCAAATACTTTTAATGAAGCGAGTAATATATATTTTTTCCTTCATTCACAATTTCTTCAAAATGGTCCTTTTTTATTTTCTATACTCTCCCCCTCTCTTTCTCTCTCTCTCTCACTCTCTAAAAATATCGAAAAAGAATTGTTCAAATTGTTCAAAAAAAGAAATAATTATAAATAATTATATGGGCCGTAATTTAGTATTTTGTTTTGTTTAAATTTTACGAAATTTTTAATCTTAAAATACGTTTAAAAATTTATTTCTCATCGAAAATTGGAATTTTTGTCTTAGTATTTTCTTTTACATTATAATAAATAAGTAAATTTTGACAAAAGATGTACAAAATTACTTTTTATCATTAATTTTCAACCTCGCCAAGTATAATTCGTATTTTTGGGTATTCTGTACAAATTTCTAAAATTCAGATATTATCAAAACTAATTATTGTTACAATTACCATATGTATACATCGTTCGTATATTGACATTGAAACTTAAAAAGAAGCAAAACAATTGGAATTCTGATAATACAAAAATAACCGATGACATTCGTTTTTCTTTAAAATCTTATACAAAATTAGTGTATACTGTACAACAATTACAATTATGATAAGAGCCATCAAAGGCACGCGTGCCTTCTAAAATCTTAAAAATTTTCGATAAGATTTACACTGTTTCAAATAATATTTACAAATTGGGAATGCAGGCAGTAAAATATTGTGCAGCGCCAAAAAAAATTGAAGATACTTTTTTTTCAAATTGTTCACTTAATCAAAAATCCATATTTCCGAATAATTTAAAATTCTAATTGAATATAAAAATTTAACTTAAAATTCTAAAGAAATTTTTAATATTTGCATTTTGCAGGAAAATTGTTTATACATTATATGCGCTTGAAAATTTTCTGCTTTACTGGTGCAACAGTGGAATAATCCAAATAATATAAAATAGATAATAAAAATTTTGAACCATTTAACTTAATGGGCGATAAAATATAAAATATTTTAAATAAAAGAAAAACTTAATAATAAATTCAATACATAAATATAAATAATGTACTTTTATGTAAAATGTTTTCAATTAAAAAAACAAAAAATTATTTTTCTGCCTTCATTTCATTGATATGAATTCAATCGAATATCGTATATATATAAAAATTATTTTTCTTTTTTTCTACAAAACAAAGTTCATCATAAACTGTATATATAATATATAAATCTTAAAATATTTACAATCAGTAGAAAATGGAATTTCTTAAAATTTAAAAATGGCTTTATGTACGACTACAAGAGTCTACATTATATATATCGATTATTCAGTCACAAAAATACTATTTATATATAACTAATGCTTGTCTTTTTCTTTTTTTTAAAAAAGTCAAATAATGGCAAAAGTATAAAAAATAAAACTAAAAATGACACAATTAAAAAACCAATAAAAATCGGAATGTTAAAAAAAAACTCCAATAATCTCAATAATTTTTTACGGTGATCAACAAATTTAAATAAAACTTAATTAAAAAGAAATAACAGAATAATTCGACTTTTATGTTTGTTGAATAACAAACAAAATCTACGAATTAAACCACTGTTACAATTTTTCGTTTTTTTTAGAGGCAATGGGAGTTTTTCTAAAGTATTTAACGATAATTTGTGATAAAGATTCTTCATCATCATTAATAACAATTAATAAAATTAGTTTTTCAAACTTTTGCTTCAAAAATATTCAAATATTCAAAATTCATATGTATTCTATACATAAAAAAAATATGGAGTATTTTTATTCTTCTTTATTAAAAGAATGTTTAAAATTTTTACTGAAAAAAAAAATGATTAATATTTATATTAAATTTTTTTTTCTTTTGTGAAAAAATAAAATTCTCTTTGTTAGTGCAACTTTTAAAAAGTAGGAAGAAAAAAAAATTGTGTACAATTCACATTGCCATAATTATGCAATATTGAAATTGCACATTTTTAAACGCTATTGAGGTTCTTTATCACACATCAGTCATTAAATATAAATTTATATTGGAAGTGAAATGACACTGGGTAGTTATGTTTTTAAATTCTACTTCTGAAAAGATGAAATTCAGTCTGCAGGACTAACCGGATGATAGCCTGGTGCCAGATTATTATTAACCCAGCGTCAAAAAAAGCTGTAGGCATTTTGTACGGCTCTGCCACTATTCATTGCTGATGGATTTTCAGCATTATTTTGTTGCAATTGATCTAAAGAGTCTGTTCGCATTCTTATAGATCCACCATACGTTTGAACCTGTAAAATTTTGTTCATTATAGAGAAATTCATCGTAATTATTTATCTAATTCTTAATTATTTAAGTATAATTAAATTCAAATATTTTATTGCAGTGTGAAATTTTATTTCATCGTTATTCAAATATCATAGTCTAACAACTATTGAAGCACGATTTAAATTCTAATGGAAAATTTTTCAATTGTTTTCTCAAAAACATTTTTTTTGTATTATAATTAAACAAATTGAGGGAATAGCAAGGCTCGAACCAGTGAAAGTATTCAAAAATACTTTTTTGATTCTTTCGATCAATTGTTTTTAATAATTTTCAAAAAAGATCTTTGACAATTTTCAAAACCATTTGTTTACAATATTCAATTTTACCAATTATTCTTAAATTCTTCATATATTAGAAAATAAAATAAAAAAAAATTCAATTCAACTCAACCTAGTTCGAGCCCTGGAATAGTTGACGGATTCTATGTATAAAAATGAATAAAAATCAGAAAAACGAGAAATTTAATTGGAAGGGCGCGTTGTCGCCACTTTTAGAGTGTTATCTACTCACTGTTTGTAGATCAAACTTTATACTGTAGGAGTCAGCCAACTCGTGCTCACTCATTAGGTGTTAGACTTCCGCTGCTGACTCTTACTTCTCTCGGTTCCGGAATAGTTGCCGGCCTTCTTTCTTGCGATTGTTGAACAATTGCCGATCCACTGTGATGTCCCGTTCTACCGCTCTGATTCGCAACAACATACTCGGTTAGCATTACATCTGCTGTCCCACCAGATTCCAAGGGTATGGCGTTTTGTCGGAAGTGTTCAAGCATTTCGTAAATTGCATTAAAGCTCAAATGTTGAACACGACATTGTCCCTGATCATTTAATGTCATTCGCAAATGCTAAAAATTACACACACAAAAAAAATTATAAATTTGTTTAGAAAATATTAATAAAATATGACGCGCTTCTTAAAATTAAAACTTAAAATGATTTGCTTTTTAGGTTTCTTTCTTCGGAGCGTGTCACGTTTTTGAATTTAATTTAAATAATTTATTTTGTCCTTTGATGAATTATTAAAAATAAATGCCATACCTTTGCTCTGCCTTGAAAATTAAAAGTGAGAACAAATTCGCCTTTTCGTGTTTCACTTTGTCGAACGAGAAAAACACCGTGGCCATTAGCAGCACTATGCAAAACTAATTGTGCAGCATCCGAACGTGGAAGAGTCCCATGAAACCAGGGATATTCGCGTAAACTGCTGGACAAATCGAGTTCTCCTTCGTTGCCTGCAACTAAAAATTCCCAAAAAATGTAAAATTTTCTAAATTATTTTTAATTATTTCGATTCCGTAAATAGACGTTTCTACTCACTTTGCTCGATTTCCTGTTGAGAGGAACAAAGTTCTAAATTACTGTTACTACGAGTTCTAAGTCTCGGCGGTAATTCAGGAGGATTTCCCTGTTCATCAACGTGATCGTGCATTGAACGTGAACTCTTACTCGCTGAATTTGCTCTCAGTCTATCGCCTTCAATATTCATTGACATTGATCCATGAACAGAATCTGTCGTATCGTTTGAACCGACAATTTGTTGACTCAATCCCTGTAGACCAGAACGCATACAATATTTAATAGTCGCAAGCCACGATCTCATATCATTTGAATCGTGAGCCTCTATCACGAATTCCATTTTTTCCGTTTTCAAAACAAACGTATTCTCATGATCGGGCATTTCAAGTGCTGTCGTTTCACGAGCTTCAACAATATCCGAGCAAAATACTCCACTACGTGGTTTCACTGCTTTTGGTGGTGAATAAAATTCCAACATATAACCACCAATCGCCTTTATTAATGCTAATCGTGATTTTTCCCATTTCTGTGTCCCATCAATATTCTCACCCATTAATGAATTAACGACACCTTCCTTTCTACATTCGACAACAATTTTCGATAATTTCGCCTTCGAATGTTTATCCCTTCGATTTTCATTGTGAGACAATTCCACTTCGTCACTTTGTTGCTTGTGAAAGAGGCCTTTTCCCTTTTTGAGGCCCTTAAATGATAGACGACGAAAAAATGGCTTGTGAACGGGTTTTGGTGAAACTGCATTTTCATCCTGCTCTGAATAATCGCTGAATTCCTCATGGGACGATGCTCTAATTGGAATTTTATTGTTTTGATTTGTCGAATTATTCGTGTCCTTTTCATTAGTCGTTACAGTTCGAACCTCACTTCCCGATGGCGAACTAAGGAAAATAGTTTATTATAGTATTTTTTCTTTCTATGTTGAAAATTACAGGGCTCGAACCAGTGAAAGTATTTAGAAATACGGACTATAAATTAAATTTTTCATAACTATAAAACATTTTTAACTAAAATTCTTCTTTAAATCAATTATTTTTCATAATTTGCGAAAAAGTTCTTCATTGACAATTTTCAAATCCATTTGTTTACAATATTTAATTTTACGAAATTTCAATTATTCGAAATATAAAAAAATGCAATTAAACTTTTTCAAAAAAATTAATTTCAAAATTCTATTATTTCTAAAAATTCACGCTATAGTGCTTTTAATATTTAAATATTTCCTAAAATTTTAACTGAAATTCATTATTAAATCAATTTTTATTAGAAAATTCTACTAGAATTGAATTATTTACATACAAATAAAATGCAAATAAATAATTTGTTGAATAATTGAATGTTTCTTAAAATTCAATTCATATAAAAATTTTATCAACAAATCTTCAAATAATTAAATTCTTTGAACGAATTTTAATACAATTTTTAAGAATAATTAGATTTTTCGAGAAATTCGATTAAAATTGTATTCAAAATAATTTAAATTATGTGATGAGTTTTATTATTTATAAAAATAATTGAATTTCTGCAAATTTTATTATTGTAGGTATTGAAAATCATTGAATTCAAGAATATTTTTGAAAATAATTAAAATTTTACCAAGAATTTTATTATTTATAAAGATAATAGAAATTTTGTCGAGAATTTTGTTTTAATTTTTGAACATAATTGATTTTCTGGGAAGAATTTTATTTTTTTTTAAATAATTGAATTTCTGCAATTATTTGTAATTTTGCTAAATTATCCAAATTATATCGTACAATTTACGAAGATTTCGTCCTTTTTCAATGAAATTACGGGCATTAAAAAAAAAAAAAAAACTGACTCTTTCGAACTTGAAGCAAATTTACGGGCCTAGTTCGAGCCCTGAAATGAATTATTAATTCTTCAAGAAAAGATTTTTATGACTTTCGATATTAGAAGTAAGATAATAATAATATACTGAACATATTGGCATTGAAAACTTAATTATATTTTTCATCATAAATTCTAATGACTTGAAAAAACAAATTAAAACCTAATTGGAAAAATTCTAGAAATTCTTCACAAAACATTTAAATGTATTCAATAATCGGTTAAAAGGAAATTTACTCAATATTCTAATAATAGTAATTTTATTTTTAAAACATATTTTGAATGTTCTGTTCTTATTTTTAAATTATACAGAATCATTCGAAAATATTTAACAGAATAGTAGATTTTAATGGATAAAATGATTTTAATGTTAATAAAACATTTAATAATATTTAATAATATTTAATAACATTTACTAAAGAGTAAAAATATATTGTAAAAAATTGATTTGGACAAATATATCTATATTTATCTATGACAGTATAAGTACACAATAATCAATAGTCTTATAGAAATTTATAATTTCGGACGTATAATGTTTACTAAACAATTCTTCTAATTTCCAAAGAATAAAATATTTTTTTTACTGTATAAAAATTAAAAATTTTCCTAGCTGCATTACTAAAAATAATCCAATCTAAATGCCATGCGTTTTGCTCCAATTTAATTTTCACAAAGATCAAAATATTATCTTTTTTTAACTTATTGAATGCGAGCAAAAAAAGAAAAAACAACAAACCTTGCACTGCGTCGTAAATATTCACTCTCAAAATGATCGCAGAAGGTCTCGACAAATTTCCTGAGGAAATCCCTGTGAGAGAGGGTGGCCTTGGCGCTTTCGGGGAGATTGAGACTTACATAGGTACAGAAAGCTTTGGCAAAGTCGGAGGCTGAGGCGCGGGCGTGTCTGTCACAAAATTCGATCCAATCGTCCGCACCCTCAGGCGACGCGACACCCGCCGCCGTAACCGCGTTGTAAACACTCATGCTTCCCTTGAGAGACAGGTTCTCGACCCCGACGACCTCCTCTCCTCCTTGCGCTTATTGTAATTCCGCACTTTTTCTCTATTAAATAAATTTACATATTACATCTACACCACACCTTAAGCAAAATCATTGCAATTTATTGATACGCATATTTGGAGACTTTTTATTCGATACGCGTAATTGACGATACAACGCTCATTAATCAGCGCTGAATCGAAATGCACCTGTTTACTGCTCAGGGGATCAATCAGAGAGATAACCTTCCATTATTTTCATGCGCTTTTTAATTTATCCGAAAGAAGCACTATTATTATTGCCAATGACAACAATTCGATCACTTGTCTCTGCATTTAATAAAATAACAACGCAAACAATCACTGTTCTTTAAATGTACTTTTTCTTCATACTTTTTTTTATACTTTATTAAAGTACTTTCCGGTACAAGAATTACATTTTTATTTCCGCAACAATACTTTCTCAAGGTAGTATATTCAAGTAGCGACTCACAAATGTTTTTGGAATATTTTAATTCTTACCTTCTCAACCCTGGTACAGAATCATCGCCCTGTCGCGATCGCACTCTGTTTCTGTTTCTGCTGCTTGGAAACTAACCTTAAAAAAATATCAATGTTTTGGTTTTGGGGTTTTGGTAAAATCATCAAAAAGTCATTTAGCAATGATTTTTATTGTCATTGATAAAAATGACATTTTTCGATTTCTAGGTAAGTAAAATATGGAAATAATGATGTTGAAATCGAAATTAAAAAGACAATTTTTAGTTTTTTAGATACAAAGCATACAAAGTAAAAAAAGAATGTTATGTACATCAAAAAATTACAGGATTCAAATAATTATTGATATAAAGTACGAATTCGTATAAAGTATCAATAATTAGCATAATTGGTATTTTTAAGATGAATTTTGGTTGAAATAGACTACAGCTGTAAATAATATAAGGTATAAAAATAATTATATTATGTCAGTTCTTTTAATAACTTGCAGATTTATGAAAATATGTTTATTTTTAGACAACCGCCAAAATGTTGGGATTTAAGAAATTTATTATCTATGGAACTATTTGTTTGGCCTGTTCCTTTTTATTTATTTTGTACATTTTGGGTACAGTTTATTATGTCACTACACATGAGGAAAACACCTGTGAAATGACGTACATGTTCGAATATCCTCAATATGTGGTATGTAAAAAATTAATTAAGGAAAAACAATCTGTAATAATAATGGAATGGACATTTCTTTCTTCTTTGCAGAGGATAACGCTTCATGCTGAATTAGAAAAAGTTTTTCCCAGATTTGGTTTATATGCGTATGGTGAAGGTTTTGTGACAGAAAAAATTCGTCGAACGAAATTCACAGGAATTCCTGTTCTTTTTATACCTGGAAATGCAGGTTCTTCTGAACAAGGTGAGAGAAGAAATGTATTAAGACGAAATTTTTTAAATTACTTTTTATACAATTACAATATTTTTCTAGTACGCTCTCTGGCTTCGGTGAGTTTAAGAAAAGGTTTGGAGGACAGAACACCATTTCATTTTGATTATTTTGCGGTACACCTTGGCAAAGATTATTCTGGTTTATACGGCGGTGTTTTAATGGAAGAAACAGAATATGTATCACACTGCATAGAGAGAGTTTTAAGTCTATACAAAGGCAGAGTAAAGAGTGTTGTTCTAATTGGACATTCAATGGTAAGAGAAATTTTTATTGAATCATTTTTTGTGATAAATATTTATTTATTTATACATATTTATTGAGAATATTGTTTCAGGGAGGAATTGTTGCAAAAGGTGCTCTGCTTATGTCACCAAAGATTAATGCTAGTTTCGCGAGTATTTTAATAACATTAGCAACACCGCACAGGCCGACAATTGTTTTTGACAGAACTTTCGCCAATTACTATCAAAATTTAGAGGCATCGATGAATCAATTAAAATTGGCAGGTGTCACATCAATTTCCATTGGTGGCGGACCTAGAGATCATTTAGTCACTGCTGGACAAACAATCGACAATTCAGCGCATATGAATCTTCTTTCAAATAGTATTCCCGATGTTTGGAGGAGTACCGATCATTTGTGTATTCTCTGGTGTAAGCAATTGGTCTTATCGATAGTTCGCTCTCTTTTCGATTGCGTTGACAATAACGCTCGACCTCCAATGATAGCGTCCGATCCTGAACATAGAATGCGAGCTCTGTCGTATCATTTCCAAAAGGTGAAATTCTCCTCTTCTTTATTTTAACTAGACTAAATTTTTCAAATTCCACTAAGATTGAAATTCAAATTTCAGCGGTTTGCAGGAAAACGTATCAGACCATTTCAGGAAAAATTCAATTTCGAATCTGGCGGTCTATGGATAGAGGACATTCGTAAACAGTACGTGTGGTCCGGAAGTAATTACACAGACGATGAAACATCAAAATCGGTTATTTACCTAATGATTAGATTTAGCGATTTTGCCAATCAAATGACAATTCAAACACTTAATTTAGAAAGCAAGGATTGGCTGTACGTTTGTTTGGCGTCCACAATCGAGGGACAGTCAAGAATTTGGTAATAATTATTAATTAAGAATTAACAATTACTTCAATCATTTAACAAACACTTAACTCTAGTATTATATTTTATTTTTATTCAATTTTAAGTGAATGGGGATGGAACTTGTCGAACAGATCAACAATATTACCAGATATATTGTACCGTCGACGAAGGAGTGTCGACTTGAGTGTTGAAGATCTCAAATTTTATAAATATTCCCACGTTGTGGTGCGAATTCCTCCGAGCAAGGAGAGAAAATACGTGAACATTCAAATTGACACTTTTTCACATTCATCCCGTGTTTTGAATTTCAATGAGAAAACTTCACTGTTGAAACGAATTTTCATTCCAAAGAAGCCCATGACAATAAATTCATCGCCAGGAGACGTACGATTTTACGTGAAACTTCTGGATATAACAAATGCGATTAATGTTGAACTCAACGTTTTGCAATGTGTTAATTTGAAGAAATCGATATCAGGAATTGTTGAATTAATCGAAACTTGGAATCCTGGAGCAACGCAATTTTTCTTCTTAACTGGAAGGTATAATTTAAACCTCATGGAGTCAATTATTTAATTCTAAAAAAGAAACTAAAATGTTCATTTATTGGATAAAAAAATTTTCTTTTTCAGTAATAGTGAATCGAGAACGTTGCAAATTCAAACGAAACCGAAGGAAGAAGATTGTGTAGCAGAATTAAGACTGACTTTGGATTCATCATGTTCATACAGTATTATTATTCAACAAGCTTCGATTGTTGAAAAAATCTCTATTTTAGTTCGAGATCGATGGACGACTCTCTATCCGATATCAATTAGTCTTTTATTACTGACAATTGCTGTGCAATTTGATAATAATCGAGATTCACTGCTGACGGCAGGAATAACTTTCATTCTTTGCGTTGGATTAGGAATCATTTTCGAGTGCTGTGTGGCTTTTATTATTTTACACTTATTAGCCATTTGCGTGTGTTGTTCGGTTGTTTTCCTCGGCTCGGTTGCTCACAAAATTGCCGTCAAGTAAGTAAAATTAACTGTTAAAATATCAGGGTTTTAGATAATTGATTTTTTTCGAAAAAATTAATACAAATATTCTATTTTTAATAATTGATTTCTGGTGAAATTTTCATTATTTTAAAAAATAATTAAATGTTCTTGTAGAGTTTTATCAAACAAAAAGACAAAAAAAATTCTGAATTTTCTTATAAATTCTAAACATTAAATTTTTTCAGTACGCTTAATAAAAATCCCTGACTTTTTCCTGATTTCTCTTACTTTTTCCTGAATTTCCTGATTTCCCTGACCTATGGCAACCCTGAATATCAATAATTTAACTGTTATTAAAATTTATTTTCTTTTTTTGATGGTATTTTTAAAATTTTTTTTCAGATTTTTGGCACGTGCGATAGCTTTTTCAATAACATGGTCCGATTGGTTGCTTGGTGGTTTAAATCAATTGCCAATTGTGACGACAATAATTATCCTCTCAATAGTACCGGCGACATGTGGAGCTTTAGCGATGATGATTTCGATTTTCTTACAATTTTTAAAATTGACTCGAATGTACGAGGATTATTTGGAAGAATTATTCTTAGCGTCGATGCGACATTTTAATTTAATTAGAAGACGTGATACAGAGAAAAATGACAATGAGAATACACGACAAAAAATATTCAATCAACTTTTACTTTTTATGGTTTGGAATTTTACAGCTATATCCGCTGTTCCATCTGTTCTTGTTTGGGCGAAAAATTTCAGGTAATCAGTCAAATTAATTAATAATAATTAAATATATATATATATAAATATAAATAATATAATAATATTAAAAGAAATTATTATTTCTTTTAGTTATAGTTCAAGATTAACAACGGAAGATCCAGTTTTACTTTACAGTTGGATTTTATTAGTGATTTGTGGAACTTTGGGATTAGTGGAAGTTCCTTGTAAGAGGAATACTGTAATAATAAGACTAATATCATTTTTATTGCGCTATATAGCGTGGTTGATAATTTGTCTCACTGGGGTTCCGACTTCATTTTTCTATCAATGGTGGTTGACACCATCCGTGACTGTTTTTATGATATTAATATCAATTTGTTCAATATTTTAATAAGACTGTGTTAGTAAGTCATTATTTCTCGAAATTCTAAAATGCTCAATTCAAGATTTCTCAAAACTATGATATTTTATACAGGCATGTAATTTTAAAAGTATTTATAAAGAAAAAAAATGTTATTAAATTCGATCGAATTAGATCGTCATTAACTAATTAATAGATGAAATTACAACTAAACATTTATATTAAATGTTATATTGTTATATAGTTAATAAACACTAAATAATTAACAATAATTTATCTTGTTTAATTCTAATTTAATAAGAGAAAACATGATTTAATAAATTTGAAAAATATGTATGTATTTTTAAAAAATGGTTCAATGAAAAGAATAAATTTCAAAAAAGACTAATTGATTTATTATAAAACATTTGTAGACAAAAATTAAAGACACATTTGTATCTAAACTATTGTCTTTGCGATATACATATAGATTAAATATGAAACTAAAAATAAATTTATCTTTTGATATAACAAATCAATTGCTATAAAAAAAATTGGCTGTGTATATTGGTGCGTTTTAACAAGATTAAAAATTATATTTTAAGCTTGAATAATAAAAATAAATTAGTTATAGTATAATTCTATCATTTGACGTCATGACGACTGAACTTACATATATTTTTGGGCGAAAAATTTTAGTAGTCAAGTGCCCATTCATTTTCTTGAAGAAATGAATCAACGACGTCTTTCATTGCAAGATTCGGAATTAATTGATCTTGTGTTAGACGAACACGTGTGACAGGATCAAAATGTCCCACCCTTTGAAGATGTTCCTCAATATCTTTACGCTCGTAGGTTATTCCACTTGGTGTGATTACAGGCTCCTGGAGAATTTCAAAACTGATTTTGCCACATAAATAATCTGGCACATCCCGTTTCTGTTATTTGAATAAAAGAATTTTTTTTTTATTAATTTAGAAAAATCTATAGAAAAAAAATTATTAAAATTATTCATTGTAAAAATTTACCCGTCGTCTATCATCGACTTTTGAAAACAGATCGTTTAATCTTGTTATACAAGTATCACGTTTTTCTTCAATTTCTTCACGACATTGCGCCAAATCGGCTTCGGTTTTATTTTCCGTTTCTTCTTTATCCTTTAAAACAGTGAGATTACGTTGCGCTTCTTCGATTATCAGTTGATTTAGGTATGTTTGGAGTTCTATATCCTGTGCAATTCGTTGTTCTTCTTTGAGCTGAAATCGACGTTTACGTGCTTGTCTCAGGACACAGGTCATATCGTCCCCGAAATTTAGCTTCTGCTCCTTTGCCAAGTCCACCGCTATTTTTGTACTCAATAAATTAAATTATCAATTCGTAGGTATTGATTTATTTTATTTTATACTCTAAATCTTAAAATAGAAAAAATGCATTACAAAACTAAATAACAAATACAAAAGAAAAGGAAAATAATTTTTAAAAATGTCTGTTAGTAATTCAAAGTTGCCACAAAAATTTAATTTAATTTTTCCCTGATTCCCCTAATCTGTGGCAACCTTGTAATTGTTGTTAAATAATAAAGAAAAATTGCAAATCATTTCAAAGAAAATGACAACATGAAATCGCACCTCTTTGCAGATGTTTAATAGCCTCATCGTATAATTCCAATTCCAAAAGGGCTAGTCCTAGGAAAAAATGACCTTTCACCAAACATGGATCGATGTCCAATGCACGTCTGCAATCCTGACAGGAAGACTGCCATCGTTTCAATTTCAGATGGCACAAAGCTCGATTCGTGAAGTATAGCGCTTGATTCGGATTTTTAATCTAAAGAATAGACATGAACAGTCGGAAGCTAGGTGAATTTTTGAAATAATTGAAACTTACAATTGCCTTGGAGTAACAATTGGCAGCATCCTCGTATTTATGAAGAGTAAACAGCCGATTTCCCTGTTCCTTTAACTCCTTGTCTGAGAGATTTGCAGTTGAGTACATTTTACTCATGATGACAGCCTCTTTGGCTTAAAAAATAATAATGTTATAAACACATAAAATTAGAAAACAAATGACTCGCTTAATTCAACAACAATTTTCAAGGAAAAATTCTTATAAAAAAACGTCATAAGTTTAACAATTTGCTTAAAAAAATTATCAACAAAGAAATGATGAGTTCATAACCTCGAATTATCTCTGTTATTAAAATTTGTGTTCGTGAATGTTCGTAAAACTTCGTGTGTTTACGTATGAAACGTCAGAAGACAGGGGTGGGTAACTCCAGAACTTTGATACATCCGCTTTTTAAATTTTTTACATACATTACTTCTATAAAAGAGATTATGAATTTGCAGAAAAATGAAATATTTGTTTTTAATCTGCTTTCTTTTAAAATATGTTAAATCTTCTTTAATGAGATTCCAAATTTGCGATTTAATAAACAAGATTGAAGATTTAATGTACGTACTAGGACCGGAAGTCTAATGCGCGCCTGCGCTTTTTATGCGTCTCATATGTGTTTGTATGTGTCAGTAGCCGATAAGTGCCCGACAAAATTGCAAATGGCGGAGAAAGCCTCAATTTCTGAACGTTATTGAAATTGTAAAAAATTTATTAATTATTTTGTGGAATAGTGTAAAGTATCGGTGATTTTATTAAAATGACATATTTTTTATTGTGAGTGAAGAAAAAGTGATTAGATGTTGAAACTGGTGTGTGAATGGCATAAAAGGTGGGTAATTTTTCATCAATATTATTTTAGTATGGTTAGGTTATCTGCCCTCCATTTGGATTCGGCTACATTATAATAGCATCTATACTTCTTATTTTTCTAAAAATGTGATTTCTTTCTAATATTTATGGTATAATTGAAGAATTTTTTAGTTTTGTAAGTTATTTTCAAATTAAGGAAAAATTTTTTTTATTAAAAAGATAGAAGAGTGTACGTGAATTTGCAATCTGAAAAATTGCGAAAGAAGTTGTCAAGAAATGGCTAAATTTTATAGCGTGCGTTCGTGTCAAGTGCTAAAGGAATAATTATTTATTAATAAATAGTTCTATGTACATTTGTAGTTGTAATTTTTTTCTGTAGTTTAATGTTATTTTAATGTTAGTTTTATTTGTTGGTAATGTTGTCGATTTGTTAGTTTTTAAATGATTCGTTTTTCTATCAGTGTAGTTTTTTATAAACAATTCAACGTTTATGCACTTTGGAAATTTTAGTTCTTTTGTACTAACTTTCTATTGTTTCTGTGCTTTTTAGAATTTGTTTATTTTATTAAGTATTATATTTAAGCTTTGAAATTTATGTGAACAAAAGTTAATTTTGTTTTTATTTTCAGTGAATGTTGTAATTTAAAGTGAAAATCGTCGAAAAGAGGGAAAATGTCTTATCCGGGACAGCCACCGATGGGAATACCGGGAATGCCCCCCATGCCTTATATGGTGGGTGCTCCTCCTCCCATAATTGGAGGTGTTATGCCAATGCCGCATGTAAGTTTTTGAAGATAATTTTGTTAAATTTTTATTTTTGTTGTATAAGTAAATAGAATAACTTTCCATATTTAGATGATTCCGACGCCTGTTTCTGCGATGCAAACTTCTGCACCAGCTGTACGTTATCCACGTAATAACGCTCAACCACGTCCAGAACCACCTCGACGTCGGGAGCGTGAAACAGGTCCACCAGTGACGGTGTTTGTTGGAAATATTATGGATCGTGCTCCGGATGTGATGATACGACACATTTTAGGTGCATGTGGTCATGTCCTCTCCTGGAAGAGGGTTCAGGCTTTTGGATTTTGCGAGTATGCAGGTCCAGATGCAGGTCTCAGGGCCGTTCGTCTTCTTCATGACATGGAAATTGGAAATAAAAAGCTTGTCGTTAAAGTTGACGCCAAGACCAAAGTTGTTTTGGATCAATTCAAAGGTAAATTATTAAAAGAAAGATAAATAAAATAAATAGAAGAAAGGAAAAATAAAATGAAAGAAAGAAACAAAATGTGTTATTTTCGGGAACAAAAAGTACTTTCTTATCTAACAATTAGAGAAAATGTATTTTTTTAAGCTGTTAACAATATTTCTTTTTTCAGCTGAAAAAAGGAAGAAACTTCGCGGTGGACAGTCACCATTACAGGATGAAACGCCAACAGAAAACGCAGACGGCGATGATGGAGATGATTATATGGACGAAGTAATGAGAGTAGTTGATTCCGATGCTCTTACTCGAATTAATCAGATTATACATGAACACACTGGCGACATTGAAGTAGCTCAATCTACTCCAGGTATATTCGAATAGTAAATTACTAAAATTTTTCGTTTTTTAGTTTATTTTAAAAAACTCATTTTCGATCCCAATTGATTATTTTTGAGTAATTAATAAAGTCACATATTAGCAGATTTTCTTGTTTTCTCCAAAATGTTAAAAATAATTATTTAAAATATTATTTTTGGAAATATGTAATTGAAAATTCCAATTAATTGGAAATTATGTCAAATTTCATTTCAAATAAATTTAATATTTTAAAGAATTTATTTTTTTACTTTTAAATATAATAATATTTTTGAAGAATTCTAACTAAAAATTTGGAGAATAATTATATTTTACAAAAATTTAGAATAGAAGTTATTACAAGGATAATTTAATGATTCTTAAATTTATTTCTTGCAGATGATCATCCGGTCAAAGTGTCAACTAAACAGTTGAATCTAGACGATGCGGAAATAGAGGAAAGTAAGCGGGACTTAATCACTCGGGAAATTGGAAAATTCAGAGAAGTCATGAAGGTAGGTTTTCAAAAATTGTTTATTTATTACTCTAAAATCTTCTTTTATTTTACTTCTTTCTTTTACAATTTATTTTCGTTAATCGAGCGCTAAATTTTTATTCAGGATTTTCAATTGTTTCTATATAAAAAATTTAAATTTGTATTAAATTCAACATATTTTCTTTCCAAGAAGTTAAAAAATAGAAATTATTATTTTATTTTTTAATTTAAATATCTAGTTTCAAAATTTGTTTTACTTTTCTTTCAAATGAAGTTTGAAATTGTTTTTACTGATTAATGTAAAAAGAAGGTAAAATATTAAAAGTTTAAATTTAAAATTTAAACGGAAATTTAAAAAATGTTGGAAAATATTTTATTTATTTTTTTTTTGAAAGTTTTCTTTAAACTTGTTTTTTCTCTTTCTGTTCTGTCCTGTTTTATTTTTCTTTTAACAATTTGCTTTTGTCTATATACCTCTTAATAATTATAATAATTCGAGATCAATTTGTGTATAGATTTAAAGAAAGAAATTTTTAAATGATGTGTATGTGATTGTATGAGGGAAAAAAATTAGTGATTGTTATTAGAATTAAGTTTATGAGAATGGAATGCGTGAGTGTGTTAAGTTAGCTCTAAATATCTGGAGCCGTGATTCGTTTGCTGTAATTATAATAACAGGCAGCTTGCGTCGCACACAGCAAATGCACACGTCTAGGAATGCTGTGTGCGGGGACCACCTTTTGTCTCACTCAATGGCTCTGAAGGAGTCAATCATCAAACAACCCTTGTTATTTCGAAAGACTGATGCTGCAAATCTAGCTGGTAAGTCAGTGCATATCAACATGACAAGAATGTGCAAAACTAACTCAAAAAAAAAACATTCTCATTCTCATTGTTAACTTGGAAATTTTTTCCTTTATCAAATTTTTTATCAATTTTTATTTAACAAATATTCCTGTTCCAATTTTTATTTCTTTCGTGAAATAATTCCAATAGTTTGAGCAAGTGAACAATTGTTTAATTTAACAAGGTTGCCACAGGTCAGGGAAATGAGAGAAAAGTCATGAATTTTTATTAAAGTAAGTACTGAAAAAAATTGAATTTTGAAGAAGTTACAAATAATTGCAGAAATTCAATTATTTTCAAGAGTTTAATAAAATTCTTCGCAGAAATTCAATAATGTTTAAAAATTTCTTTTAAATTCTCGTCAAAAATTCAATGATTTTTTATAAATAATATAATTCTTCTCCGAAATTAAATTATTTTCATAAATAATAAAAATTTCAAAGGAATTCAATTATTTACAAAATTTTTTTATAAATTTCTTTGCAATTCTTGTGGCAACCCTGTTTAAAATGAAGAAATGTTTTTGATTTTTTTTCAAAAGCGATCATCGGATAGAAAATTTATTTATTTCATGAATTAAATTCGCAATCGCTAGACACAAATCCATACTAAATAACATTGAAGGATCAATTAAATACATTTACTTTTTGGAATACAGTAATAATATTACATAATTATAAAAGAATAATTAATTATAATTATCTACTTGTAATTACTTATAATTTCTAATGAAATTTCTGATATTTAATTTAATAATTCAATAATTTAATAATGTTTAATAATATTTAATAATATTTAATAATCTAATAATGTAAAATGAATGTATAGGATACGTTTGCACATTTCTTGTATTTAAAGCATACTCGAGGGCCAGAGAAAACAGTCAAACGCTTGAAGCTGGGATACTTAGAGCAATAAATTAAATAAATAAATAAAAGAAAAAAGAATAAGTAGAAAAGTAAAGAAAAATAAAAGAATCGGTATTTTTGTTTAAGAAAAAAAAAACTGAAATTAATCTTTCATCACGATGGAGACTGTTCAGTTGTTGTCTTTATTTTATGTAAACAGCTTCTGTCAGCGTCTCGATCAGACATGTTCGTAGTACCTAGGTGCGCGCTTCTCCAGATCCACCTCTGACTGACCAAGTCATCTTCACACTGTGAGTAAATTCCATAAAAACCATGAAACCAACACAACTTCACTCGGTTATTGTAGTTCTGTTAGACAATTGACAACTTCAAATTCCTCCGGTCATTATATTGATTCATATTTCTCATAATTTAATTTTTTAATTATCCCTTCACACCCATTTCAATAAAATAGCACTTTTTTTTTTCTTTTATTTATTTATTTTTTGTTTTGACAATTTTTTCAACTAAGGATTATTGTCCAAATGTTTTTTTAAAAATTAATTTATTAATTAGTTAATTGATTAGTTGACTGTTTTCGTAATTAATTAGCTAACTAATTAGTTAACTTGATTTGTTAATTAATTAGCTATCTAATTTGTTAATTGATTTATTAATTACAGGCTTCGTACTCATCTACTAAAAAAAAATCAATTATTTAAAAAGATTTTTATAAAATTCTTCCCGAAAATACAATTATTTTTATAAATAATAAATATTTCTTAAAAATTCAAATATTTTAAAATTTTTTTATAAAATTCGTATCAAGATTTCAATGATTTTCAAAAATAATAAAACTCATCGCAGGACTTTAATTATTTTTTATACAATTTTTAATAAATTCCTCGAAAAATGTAATTATTTTTTAAAATTTTATTAAAATTCTCTGAAAGAAATCAATTATTTTCAAAAATGTTGATATAGTTATTCATAAGTATTCAATTATTCTATCAATTATTTATTTTTGTATTTAAATAATTGAATTCTCGTAGAATTTTCTAATAAGATTTTATTTAAAATTGAAGAAAAAAATTGAATTTTTAAAGGTTTAACAAAATTTTGTTTATAAAATATACTTATTTTTAAAAATTGCGATAAACTCTGTAGAAGAATTCAACTTTTTTCAGTACAATTTTAATTGAATACTTCGTACAAATGTAAATTTTCTTTGAAATAATTGAATTTGTATTTTTACAAATTTTATTTATTTATTTTTTTTATAAATGATAAAATTTCCACAGGAATTTAATTATTTATTTAATTTAATTTTAATTATTTTTAATAAAATTTAAAATGAATTTTTCGAAAAATACAATTATTCTTGAAAATTTTATTAAAATTCTTCAAATTATTAAAATTCTTCGAAAGAATTCGATTATTTTCAAACATTTTATTGTAATTTTTGGAAAGAGTCAAATTTAAAGAAGGCTTTATATTCAAATCATTTAAAATATTTTTGAATATGTAATTTAATTTAGAAATTATGAAAAAAATTTAGTTGCCAAATTTAATTTTTCAATAGCTACTTTTTGCTACCTTTTTAAAAATTAATTATCGAGTACGAATCTTGTAATTAATTAGCTAACTAATTCGTTAATTAATTAAATAATTAGCTAATTAATAATTAATTGACTTAATATAAATTTACTTGATTTTACAGGAACTTTAAGTTACATTTTACAAAAATGAAGTTTGTCTCCAAATTGACTGGAGGCGTGAAAATTTGTGTCAATAATCCATAGTTGGCTTTATTAAAGGGTGAAAAAAGTTAATTTAGCTTTTAAGGCGCTATTTGGGTAAGAGATGGTTGTTTTCTTAAAAAAAAAAAAAAAAAAAAATAGGGTGGGCGAACTATTGTGCATTTAATATTCAACAGTTTGGTGCAACAGCTGCCGCGTATATCCATAACCAGAAGGAACAATGTTGACAGACAATTCGACGGTATCTCGGCAAATACGAATGATGTATTGGTGGATATCCTTCTTCGTGACGACTCCACTTCTAATCGGTATATTAAATACTTTCTCATAATTATATGGATATTCTCTTCTCTCAATGGCCCTATATTTCAATATTACGTAATTAGTTATATTTATAAGAAAAATAAAAAAAACACTATCGAAACATAAATAGGCACATTTGCAATGTTGTAAGTACATTGGGTGGCCTTCTACGATTCGTCTATGGTTAAAAAAAAATAATGGTACTTAGTTGATAAGATAGATTTAAGGGAGCTCTTACGTTCGTCTCCAAAGTTTGTACGTGCACTTAGGTACTTGATATGTTAACAAGATATCGTAAGATGCTGCTGCTCAAGCACGTTCCAACAGAGTGAGTATAAATCATCGATAAGAAAACATATTACATGTATGAACATTCAATTTATCCTTCTAGTCCTTCTAGTTTAAAAAATTAATTTTACACCATAAAGGCATTTTTTTTCTGTTTATTCAAAAAAAAAAAAAACTGAAGGAAAAAGCAAAGATATTTTTATGAGGGGAAAATGTATTTTTTCCTAAAAGAAAAGTTAAAATTTTTTTCTTACTTTAAATTATGACTTTTTATACATTCAAACTTTTTTTTTGTTTCTTGTTATTGTAATTTAAAAATTTTGATTGTCACTAGAAAAAAAAAAATTGTTATTTAGTTCAAAGGTAAAAAGAAAGTTCTTTTTCGCAAGAGTTTCGACTTTTGAGGTTCCCCATGGAAATAATGAACTCATTATGTGTGTTTTCTTGTGTTTTATAGAAGCAGGAGGAGGAAAAGGCTCAAGTGAAGAAAAAGAAGGAGGCTGTGGAAAAAGAAGAGAGAGAAAAGCGCGAGAGGGAGAGAAAAGATAGACGCGACGAAGATGGAAATCGAGAAGATAATGACGCTGAACCCGGAAGCCCATCCCGTAAGACCCGCGGTGACAGTACAAGTAAAAGAGAAAAACGACGCTCCAGGTCAAGGTATTTAATTTTCATTTATTTGATTTATCTAATTATTTTGTCTTTGAGGCTTTTCACTCATTTACTAAAAAATTACTATTTACTAATTTTTTTTTACGATTAGCTAAATTAGTTAAAATTTTAATTCCTGTAGAAAAATAAATAAGAATAAGAACGTAAGAATTTATTTAACAAAAAATTATTCATATTTGAATAATTTAATTTAGAAATTATAAAAAAAATTCGTTTTTTTGAATAATTTTAATTCAAATTTTTTTGAATATTGTTAAATTTTCGTAAAAATTAAAAATTGTACTTTTTAAAAATGAATTATTGAATGCGAAGCCTGTTGATAAAAATGAAAACTAAATTTTTTTCAGATCCAAGGATCGTGATCGAGATCGCGCAAGAAGTGACAGGGAACGTGACCGTGACAGGGATCGGGATCGGGACAGAGATCGCGACAGGGAACGTGAGAGGGAACGGGAGAGAGAAAGGGAACGTGAACGTGAAAGAGAGAGGGAACGTGATCGTGAAAGAGAACGTGAACGGGAACAACGGGAACGTGAGCGTGAACGTGATCGTGAGCGGGAACGGGAAGAGGCGAGAAAAAGTGAGAGGGAAATTCTTCGTGAACGTGAGGAGGAAGAGGAGGCGAAGGAGAGAAAGAAAAATGATAGGCGATCTAGAGAGAAGGACGCGGCCTATCAGGAACGTCTTAGAACTTGGGAGGGTAGAGAGAGACGTAAATTGAAGGAATACGAAAAGGAGGCAGAAAAGAAAAGAGCGAAACGAGATCTCAGGGAGAGAGAAGCAAAGAGACTCAAGGAATTTCTTGAGGATTATGACGATGACAGGGATGACGCTAAATATTACAAGGGTAAAGAACTTTCGCGTCGCTTGGAAGAAAGAGCAGCCGAAGCTGAAACTGATTCACGTGATCGTTGCGCTGAACGACAAGAGTTGCAACGTCTTCGCGATAAAATACACGCCGATGCTTCACAAACTGATCCTGATGCTGAATTTGAGAGGGTATGATCATTTTTTATCTCCTTTTTTCTCAATTCAATTTTTAATAATAAAATAAAGGGTTGCCACAGGTCAGAGAAAGTCAGTCATTTTTAATTATTATAAAACATGAAGACATCGATTGCTCCGAGTTGAAGACTCGGAGTGATCGATTTCTTCATGTTTTATAACAATTTTTTATAAGTTGTTTAATTTCAAAAAGGTTTGAATTAAAAATTTTTGAAATTTTGTCTGTAAATTAGGGAGAAGTCGGGGAAAGATAAAATAAAATTGTTGTCCCAACCCTGAATAATAATGCAATAGAAATAAATTTTAATATTAAAATTTAACAAAAAAAATATGTAATTTTCAGTTGAAAGCGGAACGGGAAGAGCAATACAAACCCAAACCGGTAATAACGATACTCGACGACGAGGATGAAAAGCTTTTGAAGAAGAATGATAACGAAATTTTACCTCCTATTGAAACCGAACCAATTGACAGTGATAGCGATGACGGTGTTCATTTCGATGACGTATTACAACCGGAACCATCGAGAACACCGCCGAGACCACATCATCATCATCGTAGGCATCATAGACATCATCAAAATCATCATCGTGACGGAGATGAAAATGAGGAATTAATTGAAATTGACAGGGAGAGTTCGAAAGAAAAAAGGCCATCGCCAGTTGTCATTAGAGCAACAACACCGGTACAAGCAATGCCACCGCATCATGATGAAGATTCGAGAATGTCTCTCGTTAGTGAACCGGAGAAAACCGGCGGCAGTGAGTATTACTTTTTACCGTATTCGTTTTGTACAAAAATTTATCAGCAGAGTGATAAAAAAAATTATTCTCTTTTCTAAAAGGTAATTTTGTACCGTTTGCAATGGGAGCCAGTGGAATGCGCACCAATGATCATGCCGTAGGAAACAAAACACCTGCGAGTCCAACATTACCTACGAATGCGCATTCACATCCTAATCAAGTCAAGAAAAAGGGACGTATTGATGTTAAGGACGTTTTTAATAATGATGATGATGACGATACCACCAGTAATTCGAAGAAACGAAAACTTGTTCCTCTTGGTAAGTTCATTAAATTCAGACTTTGATAACTTACTTTAGATTTATATTAATTTAAATAAATGAAGAAAACACTAATAATTTAAATAAGTAAAAAAATGGCTTATAATTTTAGTAAATAAAGAAGTGACTAATAACTATAGAAAATAAATTAATCAATTCTTTCTTAATTAAAATTCTTTCTTATTAATAAATTAAACAATTTTTTACTATCAAAATAGAAATCTATGCGCTTGCTATTAATAATTAGACGTCTCTTTCTGAAAACTAGATTACGGTGAAGATAAAAAGAAGAAAGATGAGACAAACGCGAAGTCTGGCAAGGAGGAAAATTCAAAATCACAAGAAGAGAAGAGAAAGCATATTAAATCTCTTATCGATAAAATACCGACAGACAAAACTGCACTCTTTGGTTATCAACTCGATTGGGCTGTAATCGATAATGTAAGTAATTTAAAGAAATTGAATTTTCTGTTCAAACTGTATTGTTATTTTTGAAAAAAGATTTCTAATTATTAAAGTATATTTATTAAAATAATTATTAAAATAAATTAAAGTCAAAAATAACGTTTTTTAATTAATATTTTATTTGGATTCATTTAAATTAATTATCAAGGTTGCGACAGGTTACCAAAGTCAGGGAATTTTATAAAAATGCTGGGAAAAAAATGAAATTTTTAGAATTCATAAGAAAATTCCAAATTTTTGTGTCTTTTCTGTTTGTCTCATAAACTATGAAAATACCACGAATTCTAATACAAAACGGTAAATTTTTTTATTTCTGACAATTATTTATTTGAAATAATTTAATTCTTAGATAATTATATTAAATACCTATAAATTATGTAATGAATAATTTTACTTAAAAAATAAAAAAAAATTTGAATTTTATAAAGAGTTCTGTTTACAATTTTCATAATTAAATGAATTTCAAAAGATTTTAATGTAAAATTTAGGAAAATTTGATTTTTTAATGAATTTAATTAGTAATTTTAAAAAATTTCGGTTTTTGAAAAATTTTAGTAATTTAAATTGTAAATTGTAAACAATTTCAAAATTGTCAAAGAACTTTGTCAAAAATTACTATAAATAACTGATTTAAAGAAGAATTTTAGTTAAAAATTCTTGAAAATAATAATTGAAATAATCATGAAAATAATTTGAAGAAGTAACAGTAACAAGATTAAGTTTAAAAAGATTTTAATTTGAAATTTTCGAAAATCTTAATTAATTAATTAATCTTAATTAATCAAAATTAATTTTTTTGCAACCCTGATTATATTAATGAAATATTGTGAAATTTATAGTTTTTTATTTCTTTTCAGACACTAATGGAAAAGAGAATACGTCCTTGGATCAATAAGAAGATTATTGAATATATTGGAGAACCTGAACCAACGTTAGTCGATTTTATTTGCAGTAAAGTCATGGCTGGAAGTTCTCCACAGGGTATTCTCGACGATGTACAAATGGTGAGAAATTAATCTAAAATTTTACATTTTTTTATTCGTAAATTTTTTCTAATAGGTATAAAAATTCCAATTGTCAAAAGTCAGTTAAAAATTCGGAAAGCTTTAATTATACAGAGTTGCCACAGTTCAGGAAAATCAGGGAATTAAGGAATAGTCAGGGAATTTTATCAGAAGCACTGGAAAAATATTATATTTATAGAATTTGTAAACTTTAAAGTCACCTCAAATTTTAATTCAAAACCGTAAGTTTCTTCCATTTTTGATAAGAGTTGAAGTTTATAAAATACTAAATGGAATTTATTTAAAACAATTCAATAATTTAATTCTTGAAGAACTATAGAATAATTATTTATAAATTATTTACAGTTTACAACTTTTGTAAATAATTGAATTTTACAAAGTTTTAATTTGAAATTTTAGAAAAATAAAATTTGAAATTCTGAAGAAGTTAGTCATTTAAAAAATTTTATTTAAATTGTTTGAAATTTATTTTCTAAAATTTAATTGTAAACAAGTTGATTTCAGGATTATTTTAGATGAACTTTTTTTTTGTTTAAATAATTGAATTTTCAAAGAACTTTCGCAAAAATAATTTATAATAATTGATTTAGAAATGGAATTTTAGATAAAAATTCTATAAAATAGTTAAAACGAAATCTTGAAAATAATTTTGGAGAAGTAACAGTAATGTGAATCAGAATATTTTTTAAGGTCAGAGAAAAATTTAAAACTTTGTCTGAAGATCAAGGAAAAGCGAAAACAAATTTTCGTGGCAACCTTGTAATTATAGAAACATAAAATAAATAAATAAGAAATAGCTTTTAAAAAAATAGATAATTTTTAAAAATTGTCAGTTCATTAAATTTTTCTACTAATTTTTTTATAGGTATTAGACGAGGAGGCAGAGGTATTCGTGGTAAAAATGTGGAGGTTACTAATATACGAAGTTGAAGCAAAAAAAATGGGTTTAGTGAAATAAAGAATAAATTCTCATGTGTTTATAAACGATTGAAACTGATTATAGTTTTTGCAACACAAAAGAAATTCCTACAATATTGGTGTAATGAGTAGTTTTTAAAAACTCATATACATTTATCTATGTATCATTATTTTGAAATATGATAATTGATAATTTAACCGCGGTTGATCGTGCGGTGATAAAACAAAATGGACACACTTCCCGAGATTTCAAATGTTACAAAAAGAAAAAGAAGATGAAATAACTATTTGTAATTACAATTTGCAAATTAACTTTACGATTTTTTTTGTTTTTTTATTTTTGAATGTCTGTTACTTGAGATTGCAGCAAAGGAGTATGTATGCCAGTAAAAAAAAGAGTTAACAAAACAAAATGAATTAATTTTTGGAAATCAATGTTCCTATTTCTTTGTATTATCGATTTTCATAATTTTTCTTTTTCTCGTACAATTATTATTATTATTGAAATATCTGCGATATTAAAAGAAAAAAAAAACTTTTTTAACACTTATTTATCTATGTGCATCAATTATTTATAATTTCAGTATTAAAAAAAGTGGTGCAATTTTGTACTGGAATGATATATTATTTTTTGTCTGAAAAAAAAATTTATGTAATCCTGAATAATTTTAAATTCATTGAAATAAGATAATTTACAAGGAAAAACAATGTTCATTTGTGATTTCATTGATTTCTTTTTTTGGAAATTTTTATTGATAAGTTATGTAATTTTTTTTTTGGCGAGTGGAAATTTTTTTCTGTGTTAGAAAAGTGTCGATTTTGAATTGCCAGGATTAAAAGGAACGTTCATTTGAAATTTAGAAGGGGCCATCAGTGAACTACAAAGAATCTTTAAAAGGTTGGTGCTGCGTTTTGTACTTGAATATTGAGACAATAACCCGCTGCTATTAACGCCCGCTTGTTTTAAACCCTTGAAAGCTTTTATGTACTTAGCGACAAATAATGTGTGAAGTAGCACTGCGATCAAACCACTTCGGGAGACGTTGTTACGCACCTTGAAAATTGAAAGAAAAAAATCGAAAATAAGAAATAATTTACTTTACTAGAAATTCTATTTAATAATTTGTTTCTATTATTAGATAAACAAGAAAAATTTCAATTTCAAAAGAAATTTTCTATTGGAAAATATTTTTATTTGATTTGATACATAGATAGAAAATTTTTTCAATTTTTCTTCTTTTTGGGGGAAAAAAAATTGTGTGAGTGTTAAAGACTGAAGTTGAATTTAAAGAAGTTTATCGATTTAGACGAGGTAAATAAATGGAATTGTGAATTGTGCAATCGTTGCACGTTTTTCGTCCTGACGTTTTGAAATGACGAGAAGAGTGGTCTTGTACCGCGGTACCAAGCAAAATGTATGTAACGTCTCAAGGCAAAAAAAAAAGAAGAAAAACACAGAAAGAACTCTCGCACCCTTCCTGTGATCTGCTTCTGTAATTTATTCTAACGTACCGTATCGTAATTTATTGCTCACCGAAGAATAAACTACCCTCAAAGATAGCTATACCAATGTTCTTGTGGGGAAAAAAAGAATATTGATGCTGTTTTAACACGAGCCACTTCTAAAATTATGAAGTAAGTGTATTAAATTTTAATTAAAGAAAGAATTTTTTTTTCGGATAGAAAATTTACAATAAAACGTAAATTTAAAATAAAATTTACAAAATTTGTTTATAATTTTTTTTAATTCAAATAATTGTTTCTTCTTAAAATTTAAATTAATTAAAAAAATTTAATTGAAAAGTAAATTATTAATTATTAATTTTAATGTACAATAATTAAAAATATAATAATAACAATCTTTTTAAATATTTTCAATTTTAAAATTAATACAATAACAATCATTGAATTTTTGCAAAGAATTTTAGCAAAAAATTTAATAATTGAATTCCTTCGAAGAAGGATTTTTCCTATTTTCCTATTATTTAGGAAAATAATTGAATTCTCGCAAAGAATTTTGTTAAAATTTTTAAAAAATTTTAATTAAATTTTTTTTGAAGAATTTCTTTGAAATTTTTTAAAATAATAGAGTTTTTTTTAATAATTTTAATTGAAAATTTGGAAAATAATTGAATTTTATAAATAATTTCTTTCAAGTTTTCAAAATAATCGTGTCTGTTAATAAATGAAATTAAACATTTAATAATTAAATTTTATTACAATTTTAGAAAATAATTGAATTTTGTTGAAAAATTTTATAACCAATTAAGAAAAAAATTGAATTCTTTTGTGAAATTTTTTTAAAAATAATTAAATGGCAAAAAATTTTACTAATTTATAAAATATAATTTAATTGTCGAAGAATTTATTACAATTTTAGAAAATAATTGAACTTTTTCGAGAAATATTATTAAAAAAAAAAAAAATTTAATATTTTCTTGAAATTTTATTAAAATTGGATTAGAAATATATAATTGAATTTTGGCAAAGAATTTTACTATTTATGAATATATTTTAATTTTTTTTTTGAAGGATTTATTAAAATTTTAGAAAATAATTGAATTCTTTCATGAGATTTTATTAAAATTGTATTAAAAATAATTGAATTTTTGCAAAGAATTATTTTATTTATAAATATAATTGAATTTTTTCGAAGGATTTATTAAAATTTTAGAAAATAATTGAATTTTGTCGAAATATTTTATAAATAACTTTATTAAAATTTTTTAAATTAATAAACAAGAATAATTAATTAGTTAATAATTGGATTTTTTTAAAGTTTGAATCTGAAATTACTTTTTGATAGTTTGAAATTCGCGCCATTTTTTGATTGGTGGATAAAGATGAGCTCCACTGCGCATGCGCGTTCTGTGCGCCTTCTACAGTAACTGTTGATTCAACTTTTTGCAAGCTCTGCAATTATTTAGTGAAACGCCGTGGTTTAATTAAACGTTTAATTGCATTATTAAGTATACAAAAAGTGTTGAAATATTTTCTACGTATTTAGTCGGGGACGGTCGTCATTTTCTAAAAACCATCGACAAAAACCGAACGAATGTGTACTTTCGAGACTCTCGAATATTGTTGGCCAGACGGCCACCGAGACACCGGGAGTTACCTAGTTATCCTTTTCATACATAATAATAATAATAATATTTGCATCTGAAATTAAATTCGAGACGATTGAGGAGACATTTAATAGTTATAATTTGTAATCCGCTGTTTATTGAAAGGTTAATTTGTTCTTTTTCACCGAACACCTTCGGTTTTTTTCCATATAGCATTATGTTGGTAGGGGTCGGTGCAAGTTTGGCAACCCTGCTTTGATTCGCAGACAACATCAAGTCGTGTTTACTAGTAACAGTAGTAACCGTTTTTTATTGATAGAATGTTCGATTTTAATGAAAAGATTGTTGTAAATATTGTTGTTGTCGGGTTATTCAGCCATTGTTGATTTGAGTGTTTCATTATATCGCGATCGTTTAATCGGTTCAATCAAGATACATTTCGGGAGTGCGCGACTACGGTTGTATTAAAATCGCGATTGTTGACTGTAATCTTTCTTCATTTTGTTCATTGTTAAATTTCGGAGTGTGAAATAGTTCGTGAGTGCGTGTTTTGTTCGGGATTGTGTATATTTGGTGTATTCACGTTTTCTTGAATCGACATAAATCGTATCGTATAGTTCGTATAATATTTGTCAGGTGCAGATATGGATACATGTCCAGGAGATCGGAAATTGATCAAGGTAATCAGTTTTTTAAACTTTTTGGTATCTAAAAAATCGTTATTTATTTAATAAGAATGGAATTCAGGGACGTAAAAACTCATGGTTGTCACATAACCTAAAAAACCTGGAAATGTCTGGGAATTTTATAAACCTTGAAAAAACCTGGAAAAGTCAAGGAATTTTGATCGGAATGCTGGAATCACAGGAATTCTATTATTTACAATAATATCTTAATAAATTTCCTCGCCATAATTCAATTATTTTCATAAATAATCAAATTTTTTACAGAGATTTAATTATTTTCAAAAGTAATTAACTTCTTCGCAGAGATTCAATTATTTTCATAAATAATAAAAAACTTAATAGATTTTCAATTATTTTCATAAAAAATAATAAAACTCATCGCAGAATTTCAATTATTTTTAGTACAATTTTAATGGGATTTCTCGAAAAATGTAATTATTCTTAAAATTTTCTATTAAAATTCATCAAAGAAATTCAATTATTTTAAAAAGCCTTCCTATAATTTATTTATTAGAATTTATGTATTATTGTCAATACATTTTTTAATTAAATTTCTTGAAAGAATTAAATTATTTTCAAAAATTTTAAAGAAATTCTTTTTTAAAAATTCAATTTTTTTCAAAATAATTTTAATAAAATTCTAAGTATAGAAATTTAATTAATTTCAATAATTTATCGAAATTCCATTATTTTCAATATCTACTTTTTCAATAAAATTTTACAAAAGAATTTAATTATTTAAAAAGAAATATTAAAATTCGTCTCAATACGTTGGTGAAGTTCACAACGTTTATAATCAACGATTTCATAAGAAAAATATTTTTTAAGCAAATTTTTATTAATTTTTGTATAGAAAATATTTTGGTTAGTATGTTGAATAATGATTTACAAAAGAAATATTTGTGAACAAAAAATTTTATTCTTTTTCGTAGGAAAATAATTTTTTTTTTCAATCGTTGATCATAAACGTTGCGAACTTCACCGACGTGTCTCAATAAGAATTGAATTATTTTCAAAAGTAATAAAATTCTTCTTATGGTCAAAAGTTAAAAAAATTCTCTTCAAAATTCAATTATTATCTTTATAAATAATAAAATTTTTCTTTAAAATTTAATTATTTTCAAAAATTATAATAAAATTCTTGGCAAAATTTCAATTATTTTCAAAAACTTTTCTCAATTCAATCAAATTTTTTACAGAGATTAAATTATTTTTAATACAATTTGAATATAATTTCTCGAGAAATAAAATTATTCTTAAAAATTTTATTAAAATTCATCAAATAAATTCAATTTCTTGAAAAAATTAAATTATTTTTAAAAATTTTAATGAAATTCTTTTTAACAATTCAATTTTTTTTAAAAATAATTTTAATAAAATTCTAAGTAGAAATTTAATTAATTTCAATAATTTATCAAAATTCCATTATTTTAAATATCTATTATGTCAATAAAATTTATTTAATACAATTTTTCTCCAAAATTCAATTATTTTCAAAAATTTTAATAAAATTCTTG